CAAAACATACACTTACAAATGCAAAATATTCAAAATCTGCAACAACAACAACAACAGCAACAACAACAACAACAACAACAACAAACATTAAATCAAAACATACAGTTTTTTAACCCATCCATACCAATTCAACAAAACTTACAACAACAAATTTTGGATAATCAATCGAATATGGCTATGCAACAATTTAATAATTTAAATAATATGATGAATAATAATTTACAAAACCAAACTATTTCATTTCAAAACTCATAAATTATTAAAATAAATTATTAAAATAAATAATTATAATATTTATAATATTTATAAAATTTTACAAATATTTCTGGTTTTTTTTTTTATTTTTTATTTTTTTTATTTTTTGCATTTTTTCGCCTTTCATTTTTTTTTTATCTCCGAAAAAAAACGTAAAATAATTATGATCATAGGGTTAATATACTGGGCATAAATATTTTTTTTTATTAATTTTTTTTTTATTTTTATTTTTTTTTTTTTTTATTTTTATTTTTTTTTTCAATTTATTAATTATTTTTTTTATACCACCATTTTTTTTTAACATCATATTTTTATTTAAATAAAAATAAATAATAAATATAATCATGTTAAGTAGATCAATTTCAAAATTAAATAAAAATAAATTAATTAAAAGTAATCAAACTGTTTTACAAAGTACAATTGTCAATAATAAAAACAGTTTTAAAGATTCAATAAAAAACTATTCAACATCAACAGAAAATTCAAATGAAAATAAAAATGAAGAAAATAAATCATCTCCACCACCACCACCAAAGAAAAAGATGAATAGATTTGCATTTTGGGGTGGTCTTGCAGCTGCTGGTTTAGGTTCTTTTTGGTTAATTGATATGATTGTCAATGATGACTTTGACTCAGTTAGCGATAAATTTAGAACAAGATTACCAGAGTCAGAAAGAAAGAATAGACCAAAAGTTGTTTTATTAGGTTCTGGTTGGGGCACACTTTGTATGTTAAGAAAACTCCATACTGATATGTTTGATGTTACAATTATTTCACCAAGGTAAGTTAATAAAAAGAATCTTAATAAAATGGAGCCATATATGTAAATTTATGAACTAATCTAATCTATTTTATTAAAACTTTATTTATAGAAACTATTTCTTATTTACACCATTATTGGTTGGTGGAACTACAGGTTCAATTGAAGTTAGATCAATTATCGAACCAATTAGAAAGTATTGCAAGAGATCTGATGCCAATGAAGCTACTTTTTATGAAGCTGAATGTATTTCAGTTGATCCAGTAAAAAAGACAATTAGATGCGTTGATAATAGTGCTGTCAAAGGTGAAGTTTCAGAGTTTGACCTCCAATATGATCATTTAGTTGTTGGTGTTGGTGCAGATAATCAAACCTTTAATATTCCAGGTGTTAGAGAAAATGCATGCTTCCTTAAAGAATTCAATGACACCCGTGTCATCAGAGATAAAATTATTGATTGTTTAGAAACTGCTTCATATCCAAGCCAACCAGAAAAAGAAATTGATAGATTATTAAATTTCGTTGTTGTAGGTGGTGGTCCATCTGGTGTAGAATTTACTGCTGTAAGTATAACAATATTTTTAAAAATAAAAAACTATTGATCATACATACTAATTTAAAATTATTAGGAATTAAATGATTTCTTACAATCAGATTTATTAAAGAACTATCCATTAGCTAAACGTATTAAGGTTACATTAGTCGAAGCTTTACCACATATTCTCACAGTATTTGATAAAAAAATTATTGACCATGTTGAAAAACGTTTACGTAGCTCAGAAAATACTAGAATTTGGACCAAAACTGCCGTTGTTGGTGTTAAAGAAAAAGATATCATTGTAAGAAATGAAAAGAAAGAAGAAACCAATGTTCCATATGGTCTTTTAGTATGGGCAACTGGTAATGCCCCAAGAAAACTTACTACCCAATTAATTCAAGCCATTGGTACCAATGTTCAAAATAACAGAAGAGGTTTGGTTATTGATGATTACTTTAGAGTTGCTGGTGCTGATGGTATTTGGGCCATTGGTGATGCTTCAATTAATCCATCAAAACCATTAGCCCAAACTGCTCAAGTTGCTTCACAACAAGGTCGTTACCTTGGTAGACTTTTCAACGATTTAGCCGAAGAAATGTATAATGAAAAGATTAAATCAAAAGATCAAAAACTCGAACAAGTTACCCAAGAACAACAACCAACTTCAACTGTTTTCCAAACAACTACCAACAAATCATTTGATTCTTTCATTAAATCCCAACCAGTTTTCAAATATAGACACATGGGTACTCTTGCATATGTAGGTGACCATCAAGCTGTAGCTGAATTCAAAGGAGACCATTCTACAACTACAAGTGAAGGTTATATTACCTATTATCTTTGGAGAAGTGTTTACTTTACAAAGCTATTAAGTATTAGAAATAGAACCTTGGTAGTATTTGATTGGGCTAAATCAGCTATTTTTGGTCGTGACATTTCACGTGCTTAAGTGGAACCATTGTGAATTATTAAAAAAATAAAAAAAATGTTTTAAATTATTTTAATATTATTTGTATAAAAAAATTCTTTAAAAATAGAATATTTATTTATTTATTTTTAATTTTAATATAAAATCATTAGATTTTAAATTATTATTGTTTGTTGGATTTAAAGGTTTTTCTTTGTCATTTTTGAGTATTCCGGTGGATTTGTTAATACTATCTTTATAAGTATTTTTAAAAATATTGTTATTGTTATTGTTATTGTTATTATTAATATTATTATGGTCATTATTATAGCTTTTACTATTATAATTATTATTGTTGTTTTTATCATCATTAATTTTATAAAAATATTTATCATCTCCATTAATAATATTATTTAGATTATATATCCTATTATGTTATTATTATTATAATTATATATATATATATATATATATATATATATATATATATATATTAATCAAAATTACTATTATAAATTTTGATTTTATCTTTTTTGAAACTATTTTCTAAAGCATTTTCTATATTTTTTAAATTTTTATTGTCATAATATTCTTCTTTGTGTTGATTCCATAGCTTTAAGAAACATTCCCAAATATATAATGGTAATTCACTATCTGTATTACCTTTCTTTTCGTACTCCATTAATATCTTATAAAATTCTGGTACCAATTTAATTTGAGGAGCTGATTTAATTTTGAATGAATTGTGATCAAAGTAATTGAAAAGTCTTTCTAGTTCCTCTTTTTTTTGGAAATGTAGTTTATAGGTACCATTTGAAGCCCTATAATATACCAATCTGCCACCTAAAACCCGACAAACTTCCGTTAATATATGTTCATTTCTGTCAGTGAGTGTAATACTAATGCTGAGATCCTCAATATTTAATTCGCATTTACCAATTGATTCATATACACCAGAGATCCAAAAGTCGATTGGAGTTAATTCTAAAGGAGGTTTATAGTTGATACCAAAATGATTACAAATATCTCTAAGTTGTTCTTGCTTGGATGGATGTCTAATATGCCCATTAATTAATTTTATAACCTCTGGACCAACATTTGATAGTTTATATTGACAAGTATAGTTACCACCCAAAACATTGATGTGACCTCCACCCAATCTATGCTTTATTGTTGCCAAGCTATGATAGTTTACTGTTTCCAATGATATTTCTAAAAAAACTTCCCCATCTTTTTTAAGTACTATCTGACCTGATGCATCAATCAAACCCCCTAACCATTGACACCAGTTTTGATTTTCCTCTTGGCTTGTAATTTTTTTTAAAGCTTGATAGTTATTATTTATATTACTATTTTTCATTGTAAAATCTACTTTTGCACCTTTATCATTGGTGATTTCATTGATTTTATAATTTTCTCTATTTTCAATATTATTTATGGTATTGCTAATATTATTAATATTTTTATTATCTATACTGTTATTGTTGTTAGTATTATTATTATTTATTTTTTTAATATTATTCTCAATATAGTTTTTATTTATAATATCGTTATTTTTTATTTTATTATTCATACTATTTACATTACTGTTATTAACATTATTATTAACATTATTATTAACATTATTATTAACATTATTATTAACATTATTATTAACATTATTATTTTTATCTATATTGTTGTTTTTGATAATTTTTTTAATTTCCTTGATACTGCTGGCATTATTAATCATTTTATTGGCATTATTAATCATTTTTTCCGCAATAATGGTATTATTGGTGTTAATAATGGTTTTATCATCGTTTTTATTTTGGGGAATAGTTTTTTTTATATTATTATCAATATCTAAATTGATTTTATTAATTTCGGTGATATACCATTTACTTTTTTCTTTTGAGATGTTCTTTTTATTATCTATACCCCTATTATTACTACTATTATTATTGTTGGCTTTAATTAAATTTGGATTTTTTATTTTTAGAGTTTCTTTAGATAATTTACAAATTTGAAACATTTTGTTTTTTTTGAAATAAAAAAAAATAATATAAAAATGAAAATTAAAAAAAATTTAAAAAAATAAAATAAAAAAAACAATAAAAATGAAAATTAAAAAAAAAAAAAAAAAAAAAAAAAAAAACGAATGGGTAATTTAATTTTTCTATAAATATGATTTAAAAAAAAAAAGAAAATAATAAATAATATAGTTTTATTTTAATATGATTATTTTGGATAATAAATAATTGAAAAGTTTTTAACAAAATTATTTAAATCGTTATTTGTATAAGGAATTTCTTTTGAAATAATTTGATCAAAGATTGGAAAATTAAGAGGATTATCGATTTTTGATTTTAATTTTTTAATAAAGTCTACAAAATAGGTGTAATATTTGTTTTGTGGTTTAACAAGATTTTGAATTAAGTAAGCTTGGTCACTGATTTCAAGGTGTGATGTGATATCTATAATTTTCTTTTGGTGTAATAAGCCGAAAACATTTGAATATCTATAAATAAATTCTTTTAAGAACTTGGTCATACTTGAACGTATGAGTGATGAACAAACTGAAAAAACATAAGCTTTTTGATTAACTAAAAGTTCCTCTTTACTTGTTTCGTGAGTGCTAAATTTAATGAATACCAATTCCCATTTACAAAAGTTTTTAATATTTTCCTTGATTGGATAGGCTCTACTTGCTAAGTTTACATAGAGCTCAATAAGATTTCTTGATAGATATTTACTATTTAAAATGGAGTTAAGAACATTGAAAACTTCTTTATCTTGTAGGTATAGATTAAACTCATCAAAGCAATTGGTTGGATAGAATTTTAGTTTTAACTTTAAGTCATCCAAAGCATCACCAATTAAATTGTTATTTGATGGAGAGGATATTTCGTAGATTAGCTTTAAGTGTTTTTCGGTTAATGGTTGGGTATTTTGAAATAATAAAAATGAAAATGATTTAATTGATCTTTGATAAATTGGGATATTTGTTTTTAACATAAATTCTAATAACTCCATGCAAGGTGTTAAGGTATTGAAATCGTTGTAAGAAGAAATGGTTTGAAGCCAAAAGTTGTAGAAATCGTTTGAAAGGTAAACATTTTGTGGTAAAAGTTTCTTCATTAACTTTAAATCTGACTTTTGAATGTAAAGAAAATCAAACCATTCATTAAGACCCGAATTTATTAAATCTTGAAGTGGCTTGCTAAGTTTTGAAATAAATAATAAATAATCTGACTTCTTTTCTTTCTTGTTAAAATGATTCTTTAATCTTTGAATTGATTTAATAAATAAATTTGAATGTGGTAAATCATAGTAAAAATAATTATTATTATCTGGATTTAAAACTGAATTTGTTTTGATATCATAATTTAAATTATTATAGATGTTGTTATTATTATTATTATAAATTAAATTAATTATAAAGTTGTTTTTATTATTGTTATAGTTATTTATATCAAAATATTTGTTATTATTAAAATTTTTATTCATATTATTGTTATTAATTTCACTTAGTTGATTATAATTGTTATTGTTGTTATCATTGTTATTAATTTGAGCATTTGAATATTGATAGTTTGGTTGTTCTATGGGTTGTTCAGTTTCGTTTATATTATGTAAAAATTTTAAATTATTTATAATTTCCTTATCAATCATAAATAAATATGATGTAAAGGTTTTAACAAAATTATTATCTTCCTCAATTATTGTACCAAATTTTGTTTCTTTTTTTAAGATTGTATTGTTTTCATAAATTGATTTTAATTGGCTATAATAATTTTGATAGTTTGATTTTTGGGAAATATAAGTTTTGTGATTGCTTAGTCTATCTGTTTCTTCAATTAATTGGGATGAGTTATATCTATAGGTACATCTTTGAGTTGGTAAATTGATTTTAATTGAACTTTTTCCTTTGGAAATCCAAAAATGTTCTGAGGTCTTATCTTTTTTGAATGCATGGAAATTGATGAATGGAGAATAAAAGTCATCTCTAAAACCAACGGTATAATGTTTTTGGTTTTCATCTTCATTCATTATAATACTTTTTTTGATATCAGAGAATCTAAGAGCTTCGCCATATTTACCAATTTCTAACGAGCATGTTATAAAGGTATTGAAGAGGACTTCCTTGAAACGGGTATAGTTGTTTTCACAAAAATACTTGACATCATTTTCGCTATCGCTGATGAAAGAGTAGTAGATTTGATCTTTTAATTCATTCATACGTTGATTGAAATAGCAATAGAAATAAATTAAACCAACAATTTGAGCTTTTAAAGTATCTTCTTTACTAATAGTATCGGTATTGGACGATAGGTCAACATCTGTTGTCTTTTTCTTGTATATATCGATCATTTTCTTGAAAAGTTTAAATTCACCATTGATTAGACATTGATATAGATGATTAGTAAATGATGGGACTACTGATGTTGAATTGATAATACCATTTGGAATAAAAAGTTCATAAATTAATTGATAAAATTTAAAATGATTTCCTTTTGATGAAACTGAAAATAATTTGTTTACCCAATCTAATTGTTCTAAATATTCTTTTGATTTAAAATTAAATTGAATTATTGGTTCATTTAAAAATAATATTTGATTATTACTATTGAAATCCCAAATTAAATTTAAATTTTCGATTTTATAAATATTATTTTTAATATTATTAATTTTAATTATATCGCAATTATTATTAATACTATTATTAATATTATTATTATTATTATTAATATTTTTGTTATTGTCTATATTTTGATAGTTATTATTATTATTATTATTATTATTAGTGTTATTATTATTACTATTATTTAATTTTTTAAAATTATTTTTAAATAAATTTATTGATAAAAGTTCATTTTTGGTTTCTAAATAAAAAGTTGCAAATATAAAATTGATTCTAATATCTACTAATTTTGAATCAAATAGTATTTTATAAACCTTATTTACTATTGTTATATCGTTGATTGATTTTTTATATAGCTCCCTTATAAACTGGATAAAATTATATGAAGATAAATAATTATTAAAATTTGATTGGCATATATAGTTCTTGAAGAACTCTATGGTTATATTTAATTCTTTTGTTTGATTGGATGATAAGGTATTTAATAAAATTAATGAAAATAGCTCATCAATGACTTTTTGTTGTTCTTCGGTTGTGGTTGCAGTTGGTTGTGATTGTTGTTGTTGAATTAATTTTTGAAAATTATTTATAACTATATTGATTTTTCCCTCACTTAATAATGATTTATTTTTTAAAATTATAAGCTTTGATTCTTCTCTTAAAATTTGAACATTTTTGATTGGGTAGTTTGATAATGTCGATGAAAATGATGATTCAAATTCAAATAAACTACTATTACTATTATTAGTATTACTATTATTATTATTTGTATTATTCGATTGATTATTATTATTATTTGATTTTAAATTTGGAAAATTTGGTTTTTTTAAATGTTTAAATTTATCGTTAATCTCGTCAACACTATTAATATTTTGTTGTTGTTGTTGTTGATTGGGTGGTTTTATTATTAATTTATCTGCTAGAGATGTTGGGTGGAGTGGTGGTGCTTTAACAAAACTATTTTTTGGTATAACCCTATTAATTTTACTAAATTGGTACATATTATTAATTTAACTAAAATATCTATTATATAATAAATATTATTATGTTTTAAAAATAAAAAATTAAAAAAATAAAAATTAAAAAAAAAAGAAAAAAGTAAAAATAAAAAAAAAAAAAAAAATTAAAAATAAATAAAAAAAAAAAAATTTTATGTTGTGTAAAAATTACGTACCGATATTCATTGTTATTTTCCCAATAATAATTAACCATTTTTTATTTACGGTTTTATATTTATTTATTTATTATTTATTTAAATTTAAATAAATATAAAACTATTTTTATTTATAAAATAATAAATCATGTAACTTAAAATAAATTTGTAAATAACTTATTAACAACAAACATATAAAACATTGATGTGGTAATATTGTGTTGTTATTTCAAATAAATAGGGATTGACAAAATTAGAAAATAATGTAATCAACATCAAACCCTTGGTATTTAATAAAGACTATCTATAAATAGATGAACTTGTATGGTTTGAATTAAATTTCAAAGGAAAAAAGAACTCTTTATGAAGGATTTCGAAACAAATATGGTTTTAAATATTTTATTTGATACCATTTTTTGACCGTAATTATTAAATGTATAATTTTTTTTAGTTTTAGATACATTTATTAAGGTAATAATCTATTTGTAAAGTAACTATTTAAAACCATAATTCAAATATCTATTGGTTGGTGGTGATAAATCTGGCTGTGATGGCTGTGATTGCAAGAATTATAATAAATAATTTGTAAACCACTGTCACAACCATTACATCCAGATCTATCAACAGTTACCATTAATATTTTTAAAGTGTAGCAATTATCTTTTAAAAAATTTTATTTATTTATTAAATTTAAGTTTTTTTATTTACAGAGATATTATTATTATTTATTTATTATATTTACAGGATAACTTTTTACATAATTTGATTTTTGTTTAATTTATAATCTATTATTTTTAAATAACTATATAAGAATTTGTGATTTAGACAATATTCGATAAAAGATTTGTTTGTATTGAAACAGTATATATTTTCGAGGTTTGATGGTAATGACGAGATTGATTTAAATTGAACCGGTTTTTCTGAATGGCGAATAAAGATTTTTTCGATAGTGTTTGGTAAAGTACCTGCGTCAATGATAGGATTAAGGCCATATGAGCTGATATAAAGATTTTTTACACTTGCTGGCAAGATACCTTTTAATAGTTTAATATTATATATATTAAATGATACAGTTTCTACACCGTCTGGTATTGAGCCTGGCCTTAACAATGGTGAAACATAAAGGAATCTAAAATCAATGGTCTTTAAATAATTTGATTTTATAGAACCTGGTGGAATTGGTTGTCTAAATGATTTATCAAATATAATCTTTGAAATGGGTAATAATGAGGATGTTGATATCATTTGCTGTATCTCCATTTTAGAATTTGGTGATGTATCATATGATTTAATAGTTGATGTTGTAAGTGTTGAAGAAGAAGAAGAGCCATCAGCTTGTGATAATATTTGTGACTCATATGATGATGAGTATGTTGACGAGGTTGATGATGATAAATCTATATTTACAATGGTTTGGGGTGGTGATTGTATTGATGATGATGATGATGATGATGATGATGATGGTGATGATGTTAAATGATTTGAATTTTTTAGGAAATAATAAAAATTTAAATGTAAATGACATTGAAGGTCATTGAGTGATTTTGGTAATAAGTTGATATTTATAAGCTTCTTATAATTTTTGTGTAATTTTAATGTAATTAAACTTGTATTTAGTAGAGTGCTGCCAATATCTTGATCAAATCTAGTTGATATTGAAAGATCCAAATGGGTTAAACTCGATGGTAAGTCTGATTTATTTTCATTTTCAATGCAGTTTGCTTTATCTTTATCAAAATATAATTCTTTCTTGTTTTGTTTTGATGATTTCTTTTTATTTATGACATGATCATCACACACCAATTTATTTACATCAGTATATAGAGGCTGGTTAAAAGATGTACCCAATATTACAGTTTTAACATTTGAATCCTTTAAGCAGCATAGACTCTTATTATACATATAGCCAAAAGAAATCTTTTCTAAGGTGGATGGGATAGCTGATGCACTGATAATACTGTTAAAGTGAAATGAGAGCTCTAATGAAACAAGAGATGGTGGCAAATAGACTATATTTTGGTTGTATAGATTACCAAATATTAAAGTAGTTAAATTTTTAAACTTTGTAATTGAAGGAGTTGTTGTGAATGTTTTTTGATTAAAATTTGAGCCAAACTTTAAAAGGGTCAAGGATGATGGCAAACGAATGTTCTTTAATGGTAAATTAAAGTAATCACCAAACTCCAACGATTTTAAATTAACCTCGTCTCTATAATATTTTTTTGATGAACTACGGCACAAAGTTTTACCTAGAATTGATGAAATAATGCCACCCTTGCCATCACTGCCGCTGCACCCTCTCTTTTGAAAGATCTTTTTATTAAAGCATGTACTAAATGTAAGAGACTCTAAACTCTTTGGGAAAACAGCATTGTCCATTTCTTGATTATAATGAGCACCAAACTTTAAAATACGCAAACTATCAGGAAGAGTACCAGATTTAATTTTTTGATTAAAGTTTGAACCAAATGATAGAGTTTTTAAATTTTGTAGTAAAACTAAATCTATGGGTTGATTGAAATTGTCACCAAAATGAAGAGAAGTAAGATTCTCTGCAATGGATATGACAGGCAAAGTGCAGCAGACAAAGCCACTATTGAAATGACTACCAAATGTTACTGCCTCTAACTTGGTAAACTCTTGTTGTGGCAACTCTCTATTGAAATCTCTTGGACTTTCTAAAGACTTAATATTTGGTAATGATTCTAAAATCTTGTTTAGCTTTGCAATCTTTTCATCTTCGTTACAATCTAAAATTATAACCGACTTTAAATACTCTTTATATTTGTAACATTCTAATCTTTCTAATGTAAACTCTTGTGAATGTATATTATTATTAAATAATCTAATATGTTTAAATATTTGATAATTTAAAAATTTATTTCTATTATTAAAAAAAAAAAAAAGAAATCATTAATATATAACTAATTTTTAAATACCAATACTATTTAAATACCAACCTCCAAACTTTAAAAAATAATGATGCTTTCATTTCTTTTTTTTTTTTCTGTTTTTATTTAAAATTTAAAAACAAAAAAAAAAAACTTTTGATTTATGTGTATATTATATATTGAAAAACTGATATATGTAATGATTAATTATAAAAATATTTATCTATTATTAAGCTTTAAACAAATTTTATTTTTCTCTATTTCTAATTTATTCATTGGTTTTATTTAAAATTAATATATATATATTTTTGTTTTTATTTATTAATCACTTTTTATTAAAATTTATTTATTTTAATTTTTTCTAAAAAAAGTAATCAAATTTAAAATTAGTATTTCCTATATTTAATAACTAATTAGATTAATTAAATATAAATGATAATTACCTAATAAAAAGTGTAATGTTTGTTGTTGTTATGTTGTTGTAATGTTGATGCAGAAAAAAATTTATAAAAAATTATGTGGGGTATTTTTTTTAAAAAAAAAATTTTAAATTTTAAAAAAATTTAATTGAATTAAATATTTTAGTCTCATTATTTGAAAACCAAATTGTATAAAAAAATATCTTTTAGAAATTTCATAAAAATGTATAATAGAAATTTCATAAAAATATCTAATGGGATCAATTTTATAAAAAAATAAATAAAAAAAAAATAAAAAAATAAATAAAAATACACAGTTTACTGGTATTTTGTAAATATTATTTAAATTATTTTATAAAAAAGTTTTTACTAACATTGAAAATTTGGATGTATTTTAATTTATTAAAATAATTAATTTAAAGTTTAAATTAAATTTTTACTGTAAAAAAAAAAACAGTGTTTATTTGTAAAAATAAAAAAAAAATAAGAAATTATAAACAGGTTTATTTGATATTCAGCACCCCCGTTAAGCTTTTGAATCACAGACAATTATTTTTTTTTTTTTTTTTTTTTTTTGTATTTATACAATATTTAAATGTATTTACATTTATTTAAAAAGTTTAAATTTTATTTAATTTTAAAAAAAGATGTTTTTAGTGTAGTTATAGAGTATTTGTTTTGTTTTTGTTTTTATTTTACAGAAAAAAAAATAGTTTTAATATTTTTTTTTTTATATATTTTTATAGTGTATAAATTTTTTTAATTGTAGCAAAAATATTGATTTACCAGTGACCGTGGTGACCGTGGTGACCGTGATGATGATGACCGTGGTGATGACCGTGATGATGGTGACCAGTTTCAAAGACAACAGTGGTGGTGGCTGGATAACCTGGCATCATTGGAGCTGGAACACCAACTGGGTACATTGGGGCAACTGGAGCAACCATTGGTTGTGGAACAACTGGGTAGACTGGTGCAACTGGAGCAACCATTGGTTGTGGAACACCGTAAGTGGTGGTGTAAACGACGTCGTGATGATGACCGTGGTGATGATGATGATGATGACCCATTTTATTGATTCTAAAAGAAAAAAAAGATAAAATTTATTAATATTTGCAAACAAATTTATTTATTTATTTATTTATTTAAAAAAGAAAAAAAAAAAAAAAAAAAATACACTCTTAAATATTTTTTATGTGTATTATTTTTTTTTATTTTTTTTTTTTTTGTATATTTATTTTTTATTTTATTACCTTAGTATATTATTATAAAAAATTTGTATAAATTATTAATTAAAATAAAAAAAAAAAAATTTTAAATAAAGATTTTTTTAAAAAAAAAAAAAAATTTTAAAAAAAAATAAAAAAATAAAAATAATTTATTTTTGAAAGTCTAAAAGTTTAAGAAAACATGTTGGAGGTTTCATCATAGGTCTGATAAACAGACACCTCATGTGCCTGAAAATGTAGGTTATATTAAAATCAAAATTTTTAAAAAAGTGGGAATAAATAAAAACAAATAAATAAATTTTCAAACTACCTAATGCTAAATATACAAGATTAATTCAATATACTCAAATATTTATGTTTACTTCAAAGAAATCTATTCTAAACAAAATAAAAAATAGGAAAAAAAAATTAAAATAAATAAAAAAAGTTTATTTTGTGTAAACAATTTTTATTATTTTAAATGATTATTAATATTTCGTTTACATTCAACATCTTGTTTAAATTTACATTAGCTTTATAATAAATCAAAGTACAATAATAAAATTTTTATTTTTTTTATACATTTCATCAAATTATATTTTGTTTGTATTTTATTTTTTTATAAAATAATTATCTTTTAAAATTTATTTATGATCACCAATTCCAATTAAATTTAATATTAATAAAAAAAAAAAAATAAAAAAAAAAAATAAAATAAATATTATAAATATATTTCCAGAAATAATTTACAAGTAGTAATATGTAGATAGATATTTAATTATTTAATTATTTTATTTTCAATTTAAATAAATATTTGGCATAAAACAAACCATTTTTTTTTTTTTTGTGTAAAATTTTTTATTTTATTTTTCGCCAAAATTTTTTTTTATCCCATAACAATATTGGCTTTTTTTAACGCAAAAAAAAGTTTTTTTTGATTTTTAATATGTGTGTACTTCTTTATGTGTACGGAAATTTGACCTTCTCACCAGGTTTCCAAAGAAGAGTACGTATAAAAACACTCTACGAGATTATCCATTATTTTTTTATAAGTAAATGGATATAACATGTACAGGACATCTCATTCGATATACAAAAAAAAAAAAAATAGAAATAATATTAAAATAAAATTAAATGTAAAATTTTTATGAGCTCTAGCTATTTAAGTTATATTTTTAATTTTATTTATTGTTATCATTATTTTTTAAAAAAATATTGCAAAACAAACTTAAAGCTGACATGTTATGATTATAAAGCGGTGTGGTTTTTTGTAAAAATAGTTGTCCATTGAAAAAGATTACACCACAGTTTTAAGAACACCATCAATGACAAACAAACAAATCGCTGTACTTTTAATAGCTTTTACTTATAAAGAAAATTTCAAAAAAAAAAAAAAAAATACTAAAAAGTTATTAAATACAAAAAAAAAAAAAAACAGATAGAGAGCAGCATACCATTAGATATAAAGAATAATTTAAACTCCTTTTTTAAAATGAAATAAAAAATAAATTAAATAAATCAACATTATTTTATTTTATATTTATTAAAAAAAACAAAATATTAAATAAATTAAAATAAAACTGTTTTTATTTTAATTGTAACATAAAAAAAAAAATTTGGTAATATTTATTACATAAATTTTAATAATTAATAGATATTTTATTTGATGGTTTTATATTTATATTATTTTTTTATTTTTTTTGTTTCTTTTTGTTATTTTCGGTTTGTGGTTGAGGTCTTTTATTGTTGGCTTGTTGTGGTTTGGCTGGTGATTGTGGTTCTTGTTTGACTGGTTGTTGTTTGGCTGGTTGTTGTTTGGCTGGTTGTTGTTTGGCTGGTTGTTGTTTGGCTGGTTGTTGTTTGACTGGTGTTTGTGGTTCTTGTTTGACTGGTTGTTGTTTAGCTGGTTGTTGTTTATTGGCTGGTTTATTGGCAGCAGCTTTGTCTGGAGTGGCGACAGCTTTTTTGTTTGTAACTTTGGTTGGTTTGGCTGGGATTAAAGTTGGGATGTCTTCTTCTTCTTCTTCTTCTTCATCATCAATGCTATCATTGAATTCATCAGCATCGCTATCGAGTTCTTCATCATCTTCATGATCAATACCACAATGTTCATCATCACAATCTTCATCTTCACAACCACCAGCTTCCATGGTGATCATGGTACCAGTAATAGCAACGGTATTTGGTGATTTTTCAGAACCAACAAGTTCGAATTTAACAATTTGTTCAAAATTAAAGTGTAAATCGAGTGAAACTTGTTCAGTTTTACCTGATTCTAACATACAAATTGGGACTCTAATTTCATTTTCGAATTCTTCATCTTCAATTTCTTCACCTTCTTCCATTAAACTAATAACAGCTTGAAGATAAACTTTACCAGTACCAGTTGATCTTGGGTCGATCATAGCCTAATATTATTAATATAATAGAATGAAAAAAATTAATATTTATTTTTCTTATTTGTTTTTCTTATCCATTTATTTATTTGTTTGTTTGTTTGTTTATTCTTTATTATTTATAATAATAACTACATACATGAGTTAAATGGAAAACATCACCTTCATCTAATTGAAGATCCATTGGGTCATCTTTGGTGACAAGGGTACCGAAAAATTGCATCATTTCTTTATGTATCTATTAAAATTTATTTATATAAAAAAAAAAACTAATATAAATATGAAAAAAAAAAAAAAAAATTTCGTTTTTTTATTTTTTTTAATTTTTTAATTTTTTTTTAAAAAATTCAATAAAATAAAAATAAATTAAAATTAACGAAATGGAAATCGCAGAAATAAACGATTTACTGACTTTCTAATTTTATCAGAATTTTATATTTATTTTATTGTCTCATTATTTTCATATTTATAATGTATACAGAATTTTAAATTCTTTTTAAATATATATTATATATATTTATATATTTAATTCCAAAATTTAAAAAAAAAAAATTGGGGGGAAGTTTTTTTTTTTTTTTCAAATCATAGGAACAGAATAATATATTTAAAATTTAATTTTTAAATCAAAGTTAATATCAATTCAAATTATAAACCAAGCAATACATTAAAATCATTTGTAGGATTAGAAATAGTTTTGAAAGTTATAATATTTTCAAAAAGGTGGAAAATATATCAATATTATTATTAAACCATTTACTATCAAAATCTTTATTTCAATTTAGAGAAGGGATAGAATTTCACTTGGAATATAGGCTTTGGACAACCTCTTTCAGTTCCTTGTTATCAAATTATAGTTTCCAATATTTGAGCTCGAAAAACTAATATAGTATAGAAATAATAATATAATAAGATTGAGTTTGGTTTTATAATAAAAACAAGAATATTTATAATTTAAAAAATATTACGGTAAATAAAATAAAAATAAAATTCATTTAATTTTCTTTATTTATAGAATTTTCTTTTTCACCTTCATTTCCATTTTCATTTTGGTTTATATCTTCATTTTGATTTATATTTTCATTTCCATTACCATTTTCATATTCATATTCATTTTCATTTTTATTTATATCTTCCTTTATATTTTCATTTTCAATATCTTCCTTGATCTGTTTAATTTCAATTTCATCTTCATTTTCATTTTCATTTTCATTTTCATTTTCATTTTCATTTTCATTTTCATTTTCATTTTCTTTTTCATTTTCATTTTCATTTTCTTTTTCTTTTTCTTTTTCTTTTTCTTTTTCTTTTTCTTTTTCTAAAACTTCAATCTCTTCTTTTTTTCTTTCTTCATTTTCTTTATCTTCTCTTTCCTTTTTCTCCTTCATTATTTTTTCTTTTTCTTCTCTTTCTTTAATATCTTTTTCTTCTTTTTCTTTATTTAATATTTCATTTGATACTTTATTATTTGATTGATTAAAATGACTTTCTGGTAAATAAATTTTCTTTATTGATAAAACTAAAGATTCGACATCAATGGTGTCACTTTGATCTGATGTTTGTTGTTGCTGTTGGTTACCACAAATAATTTCAAAGCATTTTACAATGAATGGTATAAAATCCTCTGCTAAACATTTGCAGAATGAATGAAAAACTTTATCAAGAGAGCCACTTAATAAATTTAATTGTTGTTGATTTTTTTGAAGGGTAGAGTTATTTGATGCTATTGGTGATTGTGGTGAGTTTACAAAAGTCGAAATTGCATTTGATAGTTGTTGATTATGATATGATGTTACTCCACCTATAATTGTAATGATCGATTCTTTTAGTTTAAGAGTGGCTTGTGATTTAATAGAAACTGGGAAACAATCTTTTAGTTCATTAAATGCTTTTAAAAATAAATTTACCAATACCGCTAATGGTGGATGATTTAATATTGATATTGGTGGTGATATATATTGCTGTGAATTGGTTGGTGATGTTATGTTGGATTGCTTATTATTGTCGGTAGTAATAGTGGTGGATGTTGACTTTGAGATAGGAAATTTATATGTTTTTAAAGTTTCTAAAAAGTGATGTGATGCCTGTGTAATTTGTGATACAAAATTATTCAATATATGTTTTTCAAATATTGGCTCTAATATATTTCTGAAATCGATGCCAACTCTTGATAATGACATTGAAAAATACATTGAATTTTCTAAAACATATGATATCGATGATCCAGATTTAATCATATTTAATGTGCTAAATAAAAGAAATAACAAATAAAGAAAGGTTAAAAATTATTTAATTTTTACAAGTATTGTTGTTTTTAATAATCAAATATACATACCTATCAATAATTGAAATGTAAATGTTAATCTTTTGTTGTACCCAATTAAACAATATAAGGTCATCTAAATGGTCCTCGTCTTGACTTTCATTTGAAAAAATAGCATTAAATTGTGTTACGATATCGAAAATATTGGTTCTACAACTATCTGTTAATTTTGTTAGCTATTAAAAAGGATTAATATTAGTATGAAATATTAGGATTATCTTGACGATGTTGTTATTAAATAGGCCTTACATATGTGACGTGATTCGAATTTGTATCAAATTTTAAACTATTTATTAACCATTGATCTCTAGAATGTAGGAATATAATTTTTAGTTCATTTTCTTTATATATTGATAGTCTTCTTAAATATCCAATTGTTTTAATACAGTTTGTTAATGATATATCTTGTCTTAGTTGTTGCTGTAATGTCGAGATTAATGTTCTTATACATGTATTAATTTCATTCATCTTTTTTTTTATAATAAAATAAATTAAACTATGATTAATAATCCAATAATGATAATAAAAAAATTTAGTGTGATAGTAGATATTTACCAATTCGACTATAACTTTATTGCTCGAATACTGCTTATATATTTTTTTTGCAAATGATTCTAATTGAAGTGCCTCATCGAAAGAGTTGTTTTTAATACAAGTATCAATTAATTGTGGGATTTCTAATATATCTAATAGGGTTGGGAAGTTATCTAATAGGTTTTTAATTGACGCTCTTCTATCCACTATAGTATGTGATTTAGATGAAAAAGTTTCGCAAGAACTGCTGATTTCTGGTAGATTTTCTAATAAGCCATGTTCAATTTGATTTGATACATTTTGAATCTAATGGTTTTATATAAAAGAGTGAGTAAAATATTATTGTTGTGTATTTCTATATAAATAAAATACTTACCTTTGATACAGTAAAGTTTAAGGTTTTATAGTTTTCAATAAATAGTTGATAATGATTCAATGCAAGTTCTTGCATTTCTTTAATTGTTTTACTTTTATATTCATTTACTAAATCTGGTTCCCTTAGTAATTTTTCAAAAGATAGATTACTTAAACTATTGCTATTATTAGTGGGGGCATTGTTATTGTTTATGTTTGGATTGGTATATGTATCATTCATTTTATTACCACAATTTGATTAAATTTATAAAATTTAAAAAAATTATAAAAATTTTATATTTTTTGAAAAATATATTTTTTATTTTTTTTTTTTTATTTTTTTTTTTTTTTCATAAAGATAATAATTATTAAATTGGTCAAATCCTACTTCTAAATATTACAATTTTATAATTTAAAATTAAAAAAAATCATATTAAAAACAATAAAAATTTTAAAAAAAAAATTTCTGTGATAAACCAAAAATATAAAATATATAAATTGAAAAATTGTAAATACCACAATAAATAATTATGTAATAAATTAATTCTAATAGATAATAGTTATTATTATTTCTATTAAGTTTTTATTTTTCTTATTTTATTTATTGATCCATTTCCATTAACGGTATTCCGGTTGTGTCATGTTCAAAATTTTTTTGTTTTTTAAAGTGATATTTTTGTAATAAGAAATATAATGTGGCAGGCATTGTATCGGCTAAAACACCACCAATAATTAATAAAATTAAACCTTTATCTTGTTCTGGGCCTCTGCCACCAACTTTAAATTCGACATAAAGTTCTGGAATGAAATCTTTACCATTTGAGCCTTCATCTTTAATTGGAATCTTTAATCTTGCTGAAACTTTAAATTTAGATCCACTTGCTGGAATGTCTGTTAACTATATGGTAATAATAATAAAATTGTTAATAATCCACTTTATTTTGATACAAATCTAAATAATATTTACATGAATTGGTTTAAATTCAGATAAATCATAACTACTAAGAGATCTAGCTGGTTCATAAATACAACCTGAGGTAGTATTTTTACAATCCTATTATATTATAAAAAAAGAAAATAATTAGTTGACCCTAAATAAATTTAGATAGATTAATAAATAATAAACTGCATACTTCAAAGTTTGAAATTAAATCACCATCATCTTCATTTGGTGGACCATCTCTATACATTTTAATTTGTTTACCACCACAAATTGCAAAATCTACTTTTGGATAAAGACTAAATGGTTTATTGGTAGTTTCGAAAGAGGCATATGATTTTTCTGCATTTTCATAAAATGATAATTGAAATTCTTCACCAATAACTAAAATAGAAAAGAAGGTAACAAAATGGTGGTTAATAAGGGTCTTTAATAGTTTTTTATAATAATCTTATTACCTTTATTTGTAGAATAAACCATAATATCGTATGGTACAGATTCTCCAAGTACACCTTTTGGTACATTAAAAAATTGATCGTTTGAAAACTCTAAAGGTGTTGGACAACTATCTTGATCTTCTCTAAGTTGATAACCTACCCAAATTTTGCTGAGGGTTAAATTTGTTACTGGGTCTATTTCTGGTTTATCTTCACAAAGGTTAACTGAATAAATATATGCTGGTGGGGCAGGTTCAGACATATAGGCTAAGAACCCTAAAATTAATAAAACTATACCAACAACGAAAAGTGACGTGCAAACTAAAACTAATGATAAAACACATTTTGAAAGTTTTTGCCTCATTTTTATTAATTATATATGATAAAAATGAAGATTTAAAAAAAATAAAGAAATAAAGAAATAAAAAAATAAAAATAATAAATTATATATAGTTATTATGATTTGTTATGATATTAAAATAAAAAAAAGAAAGCTTTTTGGTCGTTTGTGTCAAAAAAAAAAAAAAAAATTAATAATAAAAATAAAAAAATAAATTTTAATAAAAATAAAAAAAATAAAAATAAAAAATTAAAAAAATTTTTTTATAATTTTAAAAAAATCTTTAAATAAAATGGTTTGTAAGGTGTGGTGTGGATAAAAGGGGAAATTAATTGATGAATAATGTGTAATTGAATTTTTATAAAAAAAGAAAATAGTTCAAATTATAAAATTAATTTTTCATTATGTGTATATCATATGAAAAGTAATTATTTTTTATTATTTTTTATTATTTTTTATTATTTAATATCTTCTTTTCTTTTTCTTTTTCTTTCTCTTTTTTTGGTCTATATTTATTTCGGAGCTATTTATATCTCTATCTATAGTTTTTAAAAAAAAATTTAGTTTTAGTGTGGGTTTTTTTCTTGATTTTTTTTTTTTTTTACACATACCTAAATAAGCAAAAATTCTTTTAACCATATCTCTTTTATTACCTGATGTTTTGAGACCTCTTTCTCTACAAAATTGTTTTAATTCGTCACATTGGAAGAAGCCTGTAAGCTCTTGTTTTGTAATGCCTTTAACAATATACGAAAGTTTATCTTTTTGAGATTCACCATCCTCTTCATGTTCTCCTTCTTCACCTTTTTCACCTTCGACACCATCCTCTTCCTCATCATGTTCACCTTCTTCGCCTTCTTCACCTTCATCCTCCTCCTCATCTTCCTCTTCATCCTCCTCCTCTGCTTCATGTTCATCATCTTCTTCCTCTCTTTTAATATTGTAGTCTTCTTCAATTTCCTCTTCTTCAGTTTTCATATTTCGAGTATATCTGCTTTGGCCCCTAGTGGAACGAACAGGTCTTTGGGGTGTCGTTATTAATTCTGATACATTTGATGATCTGGTTTTGATAGTGGTTGATAGGGAGCTTGATGTTGATGAAATGGATGTTGTTGAATTTGATCTAGCTGATCTTGTTTGTCTTTTTGGTGTATTATTGGTGGGTAATGTTTGTTCACTTTCACTCTCAGTTGTCTTAATATTTCTACGAGTTCTAATATAGACTTTTGGTTCTTCTTTTTTAACTGGTTCCTCTACCTCTTCATCACCCTCTTCAATTTCTTCTTCATCCTCTTCTTCTTCGTCAACATCTTCATATTCTTCGTACTCTTCTTCTTCTTGGCCATATTCATAATCCTCACCTTCAACATCGCTATAAACAGAATCATAATTTGAACCATATTCATATTCGTTGTCAGCATCTTCTTCGTAATTTACACTGTACATTTCGTTATCGTCACCACTTGTATTATCGTCACCGTCGATTTCGTTATGTTTTCTTTTTAATGGGGAAATAGTTGAGGCAGTTTTTCTACTATTACCTGATAGCTTTTTCTTTTTTTTTCTTGGGTCACCTTGGAATATAAATGACATAATTTCTTCAATAATTAATTCTTTTTTACCATTTTTATTTAATTTAAAACTATCTGCAATTGTTTTGACATTTGTTGATGTTAAATTATTTAGGAATGATTCAGTACCTCTTAAAAGTAATTCTTCTTTGATTTCTTTAATTATTTCATTTTTTAAATTAATATTGCTTTCGTTATTTACATTATTACTATTGTTAATATTGTCATTATATAATTGATTGAGTTGATTATTGGTCATTGATAAACATTTTAAATAATCTTTAATAATACTTAAATCTGACTTTTCGAAAAAATCATTTAGGCCTTTATACTTTATTAATGATGATAAATGATTAAAAAAAGATATTTTTTGATTTGAAGATTCTACTCTTTTGTGTAGTTCATCTAGGTCAACATTTTTGCTATTGTAAAAATTGTTTAAATTTATTTTGGTTGTTGATGATTCACTTTCGCTATCTTCGTTGTCTTCCTCTTCATTATTATTGTTACTACTGTTGTTATTGTTGATATCACTGTTATATACATTATTACTATAGTTTATTAAATATGGATGATTTAATAGTGTTGTGTTGTTTAATAATTTTAAAACTTTTTGGAACAATGTAAAAGAGTCAATTGAATCATCTTGAAATGAAATGATAAATTCGTCAATTGCAGAAAACGATATACACTCTTTAATAATGTGAAGTAGTTTCTTTTTTGGTACTTTATCGACATGTTGATCGACTGTTAGGTTGTATATATTTTTAATTGACTTTAACAGTTGAATTACTACATCCTTTGGTAATGAACTAAATATATTTATAAAATCATTATCTTTTAATATTAATAGTTTGTATGGTGGTGGTGGTGCAGGCTTAGTTAATTTATTTTTATCTTTATCTTTGTCGCTATTTTTTTTTTTATTATTTAAAATTTTGGTATCACCCTTTGTTAAGTTATCAATATTATTACTATTATTATTATTATTATTATTATTATTACTATTATTATTATTATTATTATTATTATTAATTGTTTCTATCATATTATATTCATTATTGTTTTTTTAGGTTGTGTATTTTGAGTTTATTTATGTTTGTATGGCAAAAAAAAAATTTGGGGGGAATTTTAAATAAAAAATTTAAAAAAAATAAAAAAAATTTTTTTATTTTTTATTTTTTTTTTGATTTTAATTTTTTTTTTTTTGTATTTTTTAAAATAAATTAATTTAACAGTTCACAAATAACATCCTATTAGTGTGAAGTGGGGGATCAATTATTAGATTAATCAAAATATGGATAAACAACTTAATTATTTAAACTTAACACCAACTATTTTAAATTTAGGCGACTTAAAAACTAAATTATTATAATATAATTGTAATAAAGATATAAAAATAAAATAAATAGAAACATAAAAATATTTAATTGTTATTGTTTTTATTATTCAACCATTATAATTTATCAAAATAATATTTTAGAGTTTTAGAATTTTAAATATTTATTTTATATTCAACTGTTCACTATTAAAAAAAAAAAAAAATACAACTGTTATTTAACATTTGAACTATTATTTTTATTATCATCAGCATTATTATTGTTATTATTATTTCCAATACCGCTTGTATCTATAATTGTATTATTAATTTTTTTATAAGGCTGTAATTATTATTTTTATTTTCTTTTTAATTTTAATTTTAGTAAATATTTTTTTTTTATTTTATTTCTTTAATTTTTTTTTTATTTTTTTCTGTTATAAGAAAATGGAACCAATCAATTCACCTAATCTTAGAGATTTTTCAAAATTAGTTGCAGAAAACAATTCAACTGGATGGCCATTCAAAAAAAACGAAAATTATATAAGAAAAGAACCTATTGATCAATATGACATGGTTATTAAAATTGATAGTTTAAAAAAATGTGTTGAAAATGGTATCCCAATTCAACTTCATAGTTCTGTTAAAAAGAAATGGTCAGAACTTCAATCAACTCCAATAGTATCAGTTCTTGGTCTTTACAATAAAGGGAAAACTTATGTTTTATCGAGAATATTCGATTTAAAATTAGAGTCATCATTCTTTTCACATACTGAGGGTTTAAGCTTTATAACCTCAAAGTCATCATTAAGCAATGTTTTAATTGGTTTAGGTAAATACTATCCAATTAATTTTCTTATGAAAAGTAAATAAATAAATAGAGCACTAATATTAATTTTTTTTTACTTATATAGATACCAAAGGATCCAATACACCAATAAAATGTACCATAGAAAAAATGGGTGATGAGATTATTGATTCTCAATATACTGAAGTTTTTATAAGAGAGATAACCCTTTTTCTTTCTGATATTGTGTTAATTGTCGTGGATAGACTAACTAGAGATGATCAATTATATATTCAACAAGTTAGACAAAAATATAGCACCATTTCTGGTAAAGATGTCAACAATATTATCATCATCCATAACCTTTCACATTGTAGAGATATAGATCAAATGGATAAAGTGGTCAAAGAAGAAGTCGTTGAAGCATTTTGTGCCAAGGCCTATAAAAACATTGAAAAGAGCCCCTACTATGTCGGACAAGATGGTATTCGTCATGTTGTAATGTGTGCTGATGAAAATGGTTTTAATGGAACTTTACCTTCAAATGCTGGTAAACAAGTAAATAAAAAAACCATAGAATTGGTTTGCGAATGGTTAAGAGCATCATCCTCAATTTCTCAAAAACCTAAAAACAACTCTTACCTTTATCAATTTATCAAAGAAAATATGAATAAGATTATCGGTCACTATTTTAGTGAGCAATACAGTTTGGAAATTGACTCTGCTTTAAATGATAATCCATCATTCACTATCAATGGTATTGATCCAAAAGCTTCAAAAAACCCCACCTACGTTACAAATTTAAAAATAGATATGGCTGGTGTCATCAATGGAGGCTCCAATACACAACCATGTATGGTCAAAGAAGACCCAGAAAACTACTACTTGGATATAGATTGCACAGGCTATGAAAAAGAAAGCCTATCCTTTGCCATCAGCGAATCTACCATACTCAAAGTTAAAAGCAATTGTCCTAGATGTTTTGGAATAACCCCAAGTCTAAATACCATCCACAATGACTTTAGAAGCAATGAGACTTTGGGCTTTGAATATAAATTCGCCAAAATGGTAGAGGACAAACCAACAAAACTAGAGTTAAAAAATGGTGTTTTAAAACTAACAATTAAAAAGAAAAAAACAGTTCTCGAATATAAAATAGAAGAATTTGGTATTTAAATAAATAGAAAAAAAAATTCTATTTGTATTAAATAGCTATAATATATGTATTATATATTAAAATTACATAAATAAAATAAAAGGGTTTTAGAATTTTAGAAAAATAAATTTACTTTTGAAAAAAAAAAAAAAATTACACTATTTTTGTTTTACCAATTTTATTTTTATGCCTAATAACATTCTATTTAATATGTATACATTTAATTTTTAAATATTATTATTTATTTTTAATCGTTTTGTTAAAATTTTATTTTTACCAAAAAATATCTTTTTATAAAAAAAAATAAATATTAGCATGAAAAAAAATAATAATTTAATTAAATTAATTAATTTGATAGAAAAACGTACATGTATGTATTTACAGTATAATACCAACAACTCCCAATTCTCCTGAGTAAAATTATCATGAAAATGGTTATAAGCTAATTTAAATTAAAAATGAAATAAAATTAGTATTAAAATAATTAAACTATCTATTATGAATGTATATAAATAACTAATAACTTACAGATCTTTTCTGCTTACAATACCAACAACTTCACTCCTCTTGTTCAATACTGGTAAATGTCTTAAACCCATAGTTCTAAAAAGTTGATAGGTTTCTGAATATGAATAGGTTTCGTTTGCAACGATACTTGAAAGGTTCATATATGGTCTTAAATCGATATACATATTATCGATTTCGTCCTGTGTAATGTTCATTTTATCGATTGGTGGGAAATGTCTTGCTAAACTTTGAGTCATTAATTCATAAGACATTCTTGGATCTGCTTGTACATGGCCATAATCTGTAACTCTTCCAAATCTACGTTGAGGATATTTTCTATTTGCATTACCGCCCAACAAACGTGGGTTTTGTGGTATTGGTTGTTCATGACAGAAAATTTTATAGTACAACAATACAACCAATTGATTTCTTAAAATTAAACCACTGTAGGCAGTTTCATCATCATATTGTTGTAAGTTACCATAAGCATCACGTTGATTATTTAGAATTGGACGTTCGACAACTGGGAAACCATGGTGTAAATGTTGGGTTGATTTTAATATTTCAATAATTCTTGATACCTTTTCTACTTCGTGAACTGTGACTACATCAGATTTCATAATATCGACAACACCCAATTTGATAAATGATTTGATTGGTTGACTTTGAAGGAATGGGTAACACTTTTGTTCCATAAGATGTTCATAGATGGATTCATTGAATATATCACCGACCCATTTGGCAATCATAACTGAAAGAATTACTGGAAGCATATATTGGGTACCTTCTGTTAACTCTACAATAATGATAGCCAATGAAATTGTCATTCTAGAGAAACCTGCCATCATAGCTGAAGCACCAACCATTGCATATACACATGGATCAATATTGCTAAAGAACAATGCAATAACTTGACCTACCAATCTACCTAAAGAAGCACCGACCAACATCATTGGAATGAACAAACCACTAGCCAACATTAAACCACTGGTGATAATGGTCAATATGAATGAAATTAATGTAAAGATAATTAAAACTGGAATTGTAAAGATATTTGGTGAGGTACTGAATAAAAGACGAAGACCAGCATCTAATGAATTAAATGAAAGACCAGCCATTTGATTGTAGGATTTATCTTTTTCACAAAAGAATGGAATGAAAATAGGCTTCTCAATAATGGTACCATTATTGCTACTGCTACTGCCATTATTATTATTTGGGATCTGAGCTTGAGAGATGTCACGGCATGGAGTGAATGCAGCGGCACAGAATAAAAGGGTTGATGTGAATGTAACTAAGATGAAAACTTCGACAACACGTAAATAGATCTTTTTGTTTGCAAAGAAGCTGGCTCTCCACTTTGAAAGACGAGCATTTAAATCCACAAACAAAGCACCAAGTAAACCACCTAAAACACCAATACCTGCAAATGGTATAAGTTCAGCATAACGAAAGAGTACAGTATTTGAAAGACCAAATTTCAATACACCATAATCGTGAATTTGAACAGAAAAACCTTGAAGAATTATATTTGTAGTGAATGTAGCAATGAGACAAGCAAAGAAAGTTCTCCAGGTTAATTGACGTGACCAAAAAGATGAAGCCTCCTCATAACCAAATAATACACCACCTATTGGTGCACCAAAAGCTGCTGCAACGCCAGCTGCTGCACCAGTACTTATAAAATCTCTACGATCACGATCGTTGTGATATTTCCAAAAAATCTTTGGGTACCATCTGAGTGTTTTTGATTTTACTTGACCAATAGCACCACCCAACATACTTCCAATGTGAATCATTGGACCTTCTGGTCCTAAAATTAAACCACTACTATAAGCTAAAATTAACGAAGCCAATTTACCAATCAAAGTCTTAACGTTCATTGAATGAGGAATACGAATACCATTTAAATAACCTTTTACCTCTGGAATACCTGAACCACTTGCAATCTGGCCAACTGGTATAATCACTAAAGATGCTGATATACCAAACAATAAATTAATTCCATAATAAACCAAGAACCCTATAAACTTTTTCTGTGTCTCTAAATAATGCTCTGATTTTTTAAATTTATATTCGTTGACAAATTCTACACTTTGTTTGACAACATATGCCGTTATACCAACTAAAACACCAATCATAAAACAAATTAACCATTTACCAAATGTCTTTAATATGTGATTTAATTTTGATGTCTTTCTTAAATGTTCTCTGTAAATTTGATTGTCAATTATTGGGAAATCTAATGACTAAAAATTAGAAATTTTTGTTAGAAATTTTACTTTTTTTTTTCTATCCAACATAAAATTTTATAATACATACTTCATATTTTGCCATTTTTAATTTTTCTGCTTCTGTAAATGTATGTTTACCTCTTGTATGTGTGAGTTTCTTTTGCTTATTGATATCGCCAAAACCTGAATCATTAAAGTATGGTTTATGAATAATAGCTGTTTCATCATTAATCTCTAATGATGAATCATCTTTACTTTCTAAAAATATACCATCACTATCTTCAAAATACTGATTACTATTTTCATTCATATTGCTATTATTATTGCTGTTGTTGTTATTATTATTATTATTGTTATTATAGCTACTATTATTGCCACTATTATTATTATTATTATTATTATTATTTATATCAGCCTCATCAAAAAATGAATTATAATCATTTTTAACCATTTTATTTGTAAAGTATATATATTTGTTACTACCGTTCTAAAATTTATAATTATATATTATTGTAGTAGTTTCTTTTTATAGTTTTTAAAAACATTTATATTGTATATATTATAAACTATATTAAACAAATATTTTTAAAAAAAAAAAGTATAAAATTATTTATATTTATTAAATTATTTATTAAATTTATTATTAATTTTTTATTTTTTTTAATGATTAAGTGTGGGGGGTAAATATTAAAATAAAAAAAAAATTATTAACAATATTTAAATATGTATTGAGTGTGTGTTTTTTTGTCTATAATTTAAATTTGGTGTTATTTGAATTTAAAAAATAAAATAATAAAAAAACAAATATATATATATAAAACAAAAAGATTATAGCTGTGTATATTTATTAAGTTAATTATTATTAATTATTTATATTTGTTTTATTTTATTTTGTGTATCTCTAACGAAAAACTAAATAGTTTTTTTCTTAAATTTTTTTTTTTTATTTTGAATTTTAAATAAAAATAATATTTTTTTAAATATAATTAAATTTTTTTTTTCAAATTTAGATTTTTTTTTTTTATTTTATTTTATTTTATTTTTTTTTAAAAAAAAAAAATAATTTGGAATATTATTAACCACTTTCAAGGTGCACCTCGTTTTTTTTTTTTTTTTGTATAATGTTTATTATTATCTCTGTGTATTATTTGAAATGAAAAAAAAAAAAAGTAATTTTTTCTCCTTTTTTTTGTTTTTTTTTTATTTTTTTTCTTTTTTTTTTTTATTTTTTTTTTAATTTTTTTGGGTTATATGCTCACGTACATAATTTTCTATTTTGGGTTCTTTGCTCTTCCAAGCACCAAAATTTTTTAATTTTTTTTTTTATATAGTGGTTGCATATGATCATTTTTTTTTGTAAATTTTTGTTTGCGAAAAGATTTTAATTTTTTTTTTTTTTTTCAAATTAGATAATATCTTTTTATTATAATATTCAAAAATATCTTTAGATATCTGATTTTATGTAAAAAATGTTAAATAAATAAAGGATGATTAAAAAAAAAAAAGATAATAAAGTTTATATCTAAATCCATATTTATTTAACTATTATATCTTTTATAAATATTTAAATATTAGCAATAATATTAATATAGAATTTTTTTTTTTTGATTTTATTAGTTTTATTAAAAAATCTTTATTTTTTATTTATTTTTTTTATTGTCGATCTATAATAAACGTAAAAAATTAATATTAATTATTTACGTTTATTTTTAAATTAATTATTAAATATATGAAGAATTAAAATATTTTTAAATAAAATAAAAAGAAAAATAAAATAGTATTTTTTGTTAAAAATGGTTTAAACAGATTATTTTTTTTTTTTTTTTTTGTTTAGTGTATATTTTGTACTATTAATGGTGTTTTTGTTCCATCTGAAAGTTTTAATGTTTATTTATATTTTATATTTATATTTTTTAATTTTTAATTTTGATTTTGATTTTTTAAAATGAGATGCTATAATGAATGAAATTTTTATATAAAATCCCATAGCTTCTATTTCTAGAGTTCATTGATAAATAGTCACGACCAGATGTAATATAATTGTTAAGAGTGTTATTTGCAGGATCTAATCAATTGATTAATTTACCGGGAATGAGTTACATAACACTGGAATTGGAGACGATTGGCCAAATCTACCCCATTCCATTGAACTTGCACTATTTTGAATAACCATACCCAATAATACCAATGCATACTTTTAAACCTTCTGTTAAGAATTGTAAATTAATTAAAATGGTAAGTATATTATTTGGTTGCAATATGATGATTAATTATATATTTATATAATACCTTCTAATGAATAAGTATTTTAAAGACAAATGGGTGGAGAAGCACTTTGGGAGAATAAAAAGAAACTCACCATCTCATGTAAATTGAAAGTTATATTGATACCATAATGAATCTCCATCTACTAAGAGAGATAAACCGGTATTATTTAAAACTAATTGAAAGGAACCTACACTAAGTGATGCACATACTGCAAAAGTAGAATTATATAATAACTATTTTTTTTAATTTTTAAATTATAATTTTTTATGATATAAATATTAAATAAAATATTAGTTTCTTCTATATTTAAAAATATAAATAATTATTTAAAAATAATAATAGTTACCTTTGTAATCATTTTGATATCCATTTGGTTACATAAAATTTCTATGGGTATCTATTTGGAATAACTATTAAAACTCTATATTTCCTTTTCTTTTTTTAAATCTTTTCTAGTTTTTCTTTTTTTCCATTTTTTCACAACGTATTAAATTTATTTAATATATTCATTACCAACTTTTAAATTTTTTATTTGAATTTGCAACAATTTCATCAGCCTCCAATGATCTTTTTGAAATTCCATTTTTTTTTAAAATATCATCTTTGAATTTTTTTTTGGACTCTACATTGTTTTCATTTACTTCCAATGGTCTCTTAGAAAATTCATTAAATTTATTTGATATTTCTCCATATTTAAATTTCTTTTTGGAATTTTCATCTTTTTCACCAGCTTCCAATGATCTCTTTGAAATTCCATAAGATTTATTTAAATTATCTTTATCATCAAATTTAAATTTTTTATTGGATTCCATATCTTTTTCACCAGCTTCCAATGATCTCTTTGATTTTCTATTAAAACTGTTGTATGGATTCATTGGTGTTTGTGCTGGCATTGGTGGAGATTGGTATTGATGATTTGGTTGATGGTATTGACTATGGAATGTGTTCATTGGTGGTTGTGTTTGTTGTGGTGAAGATTGGTATTGAAGAGTTGGGTCCTGATAATAGTTGAAATCTCCATTTGGTTGGTAATGTTGTGTTTGTTGTGGTGGAGATTGATAATGATGAGTTGGTTCCTGATAATAGTTGAAATCTCCATATGGTTGGTAATGTTGTTGATATTGTTGTGGTGGAGATTGTTGTTGATAATGTTGATGTTGCTGTTGTTGTTGGTTATTATTATTATTGTTATTATAATTATAATTATAATTATTATTATTATTATTATTATTATTATTATTATTATTATTATTTTTGATTTTATTATATAATAAAAAACAAATGGTGACAACAATAAAGAAAATAGCAATTAAATTATACATTTTTATGATTATTAAAGTGTGATATAAATTATAATTATATGTAAAATTATATGTGTTTTAGAAATAAATAATTTGAAAAAAATAAAAAAAAAAAATTTGTTTTGTTTATAATTTTTTTTAATAAAAAATATTTATTAAATTTATAAAAAAAAAAAATTAAATAAAAAATAAAAAATAATAATATAATAAATATAATAAAATCAAAAAAAATAGTAATGTTTAAACTCAGAAGTGTGAGTTTTTTATAATTACTATTTTAAAATTTTTTTTAAAAAAATATATTTTTTTTTTTTGAAGTTTAAATATATGTATGTTTTTATTTGAAACTGAGTATTTTAATTAAAGATATAATCTGATTTGAAAAATTCATTAAATTCTCTATAAAATGACATATAAAACATTAACCTTTTCATTCATAAAAAAAAAAAAAATTTATAATTTTATTATTTATAATTATAAATAAAATAACACAAGCCAGTTAAGATGTATTGAAATAAGTTTATTTAAAGTTTATACTTATTGGCACCTGTCCTATCAATATTTTTACCTATCTTCTTTAATATAATCAAGATTGAGCTGGGATACTTTCCACCTAATATAATAGAGTTAAGATCTCATTATAATTATACCACGAATCAGATGATAAAGCTAAATATGAATTTAAAGTACATTAAAAGAAAAAAAAAATATAAATAAATTTAAAAGTTGTATTAATATGGAAAGTTTTTAATGATTTAAATGTTTTTGTATATGCATTATCTTTTTTTTTTTTTGACGAAAATTTATTTGAGTAACCCATCTCTCAAGAAAGTACGAGGAACAGGATACTCAAAGACCATAGAAATCAAAGTCACAACTCATACCGTTAAAAATAAATAAAAGCTTATTAAATTTATAATAAAATAAATATAATTATAAAAAAAAAAAAAAAGTGTAGCATTTTAAAAAAAAAATAAAAAAATAAATATTTTAGGTGAAATTTAAATATATAAAAAAATTTACTGCTCAATAGGATTTAATTATTTGGTTTTAATTTTTTAATAAAATTAAAAGATTTAAATAAATAAAATATATATTATATTCACAGAGTAGTTTATGATATTATTAAAAAAAAAAATGGATACCGCCCTATTCGGGAAAATAATAAAAACCAGGGTATTTGGATAATTATAAAATTTTAAAAATTTTTAAAATTTTAAAATTTTTTTTTTTTTATTATTAAAAAAAAAAATGAAATTTTTTTTTTCTTTTTTCCTTTACAACAAACAAATAAAATGTTATTAAGATTATCTTTAATTGTATTAGCCTTTACAGGTTTAGCTTCTGCAATTAATAATGGATTGGGTTTAACTCCTCAAATGGGTTGGAATTCATGGAATGTAAGAATAGTTTTAATTTTATTTATAATATTTTTTTGCTCGCTGACACTTTTTTTATTTTTATTTTTATTTTTTATAATAATAGTACTATGCATGTGATATTAACGAAACAGTAATTATGAATACTGCTCTTGCAATGAGCAAAAATGGTATGGCTGCAGCTGGTTATAAATATGTAAATATTGATGATTGCTGGGCACTTGAAAGAGCTTCAAATGGTACTGTTATTCCGTAAGTAACATAATGCATTATGTATAAAAAAGAAAACTATTATTAATATTTGTTAATACTTTTCAATAACATTTTAGAGATCCAAAAGCATTCCCAAATGGTATAAAATATGTTGCCGACTATATTCATTCACTTGGTTTACTTATTGGTATTTATACTGATGCCGGTCTTTATACCTGTCAAAAGAGACCAGGCAGTTATGGTTTCGAAGAAATTGATGCCATTACTTATGCAGAATGGGGTATCGATTATTTAAAGGAAGATTGGTGTTATTCATTCCTTGAAAACCCACAAGAAAGATATCAAATTATGTCAAATTCTTTAAATGCCACTGGTAGACAAATCTTCTTTAGTCTTTGCGATTGGGGTACAGATAATCCATGGACATTTGGTGGTGCTATTGCTAACTCATGGCGTACAACTCCAGATATTAAAGATAACTGGGATAGTATGATGGCAAATTTAATGGCCCAAGCTAGTATTTCTTCTTACAGTGGTGTTGGTGGTTGGAACGATCCAGACATGTTAGAGGTAGGTAACGGTGGTATGACCAATACTGAATATATTTCACATTTCTCATTATGGTCCATTTTGAATGCCCCATTAATCGCTGGTAATAATTTAATCGACATTGACCAAGAAACTTTATCAATTCTTACTGCCACAGAGGTTATTGCTGTTAATCAAGATCCATTAGGTGTTCAAGGTGCTCTTGTCAAATCCTATAATGGTGGTTTACAACAAATTTGGGCCAAACCAATGGCTGATGGTTCAAGAGCTGTCGTTCTCTTCAATACTGATACCAATCCAGCCACCATCACTCTTAATTGGGCAGATATCTGGGTCGCTCCAGTTACTCAACAATTAGTCGTTAGAGATTTATGGCAACAATCCAATCTTGGTACTTTTGCAACTACTTTTGTTAGTGAAGTTATTCCACCACATGGTTGTGTTATGTTAAAATTAACCCCAGCAACAAACTAAATTTGAAAAAAAAAAAATTAAAAGTATTTATTAATCCGATAATGAATACAGCAAAATAAATAAATGTTGTCATAATATAGTCGAAAAATATCTTATCAAAACTGTTTTTTTTTTTATAAATTATTTCTTAAAATAAATATCTTTTTTTTTCCTTTTTTTTTTTTTACTTTTTTATTTAAAAAAACCTTTTAAATAATAAATTATTTTTTTTTAAATAATATAATACAAAAATAATGGAAGATAAACAAATATTACCATCATATTTAGAAAAAGTAATTTTATCATTTTTAGTAAATGAAATTAATATACACAATAAAGAAATACCAAACTTTTCTGGAGATTTTGATAAAATATTAGATAAAGATATAGAAATTGGAGAATTAGTTAAATCATTATCCCTTGTGAATTGGCATTGGTTCAACTCAGTCTCTTCATTATTAAATGTATCAGTAGATTTCACACACTCTTCAGATTTAGAAGGTAGTGTATATGAAAGTTTGATCAATAGAGATATCACTTCCAACACCTCAAGTAAATTTAAATTAATAAAAAATGAAAACATCAATTATTTAAGACTAAACTTTAGTGAATGCCAAATAGAATCGTTATCAGAAGATCAACAATTTAAACTATTAAATGTGGTTAATACCAATACAAGTGGTTTTAAAAATTTAAAAAAATTAATAATTTCAAATGGTTCCTCAGATCAGGATATCTATTTAATAAATAAAATTAATTTTGATAATATTAAAATAGGCTTTTTGTTTTTAAATATGAACCCCGAAGAGGGCAAAGAGGATGAACCATTGATTTCGACCAACATCAAAGAGATTGCAGATCTTGAAGGCACCGATCAATCACTCAATAGTTTAATACCAGTTTTCAAGCAATTAAAGAAAGTCCGTTCGTTAATATTCGATTGTTTTAATATAGATTCGTATAGACAGCTTTATATCAGTTTGTGCTGCGATGGAGATGAAAATAAACTATCAGGACCCAATGGAGATAATATTGTCAACAGCAGTTGTTTATCATACATCCAAAATATAGCTATAAACAATAGCCAAGTCCAAACAATAGAGTCATTATACTTTATTCTAAAGTTGTTACCAAAAATGAAGACAATTTCATTCAAGATATGCTTTGATAACTTGATTAAACAAATGGACACAACTGGTACTCGTAAGGGATGCATCTGTAGTAGAGAGGACAAATGTAATGAATTTTTCGATCATTATTGGAACGGCATTTCAAAAATGATTCAAGAGCATCAACATCTTATTAGATTAGAGATTGGTCAACACTGTACTTATCCAATAGCATATGCAGAACCCTTCAGACTACCAACTGATTTTGTAAACAAGTTTGGTTTGGCTATTGGTAACAATAAGTCAATTAAATCTTTTAGAACCTCTCACCTTCCATCCAGTAGCATCAATTTAATTGAGTTCATATCTGGAATGAACCAAACAATAGTATATCACAGTCATGTATTCCTCAATATGTCAGGTCCTCCTCCAGAAGAATATGTAAAAGATTTCAATGATCTTGTAGAAAAATATAAACATATTAAAATGTTTTTAATTGATGATGCTTTTACAAATTCTGAAGTATTAACATATAATAATTAAATAAAAATAAAATTTAAAATTATTTATTTATTTCAATTTTACAAATATTAAAAAAACTGTGGTCACTATTTTTTTATTTTATTTTTATTTTTTTATTTTTAAAACATACACAGAACACATAGAAACACACACATATAAACATACACAGAATATCCAATTTTATAAAAATATAAATTTAAGTTTTCGAAAAAAAAAATTAAAAATTTAGGTTAATTGGTTTATTTATTTTATTTATTTTTTTTTAATTTTAAAAAAATCATAAAAAAAAAAGAGAAAAATTAATTTTTTTTTTTTTTAAATTTTTTATTTTTTTATTTTTTATTTTTTTATTTTTTAATATATTAAGAAATATAAATATTTTGTAAATTATTTATATTTATATAATTTATATTTAAAACATTATTAGTTTTGTTATATTAAAATATTTTATAGTTTTTAGTTTTGTTATATAAAAATGGATTTAGCAAGTTTACCACCAGCTTTAAAACCAATATTACCATATTTAAAACAGGCACTTCAATTAGAAAAACATGATTTAGTCATGGCTTATTTTTGTAGAGTTTATGCAGCAACTTTAGCATTAGATATTAAAAAGAAAATGGGTCCAGAGGGGTCGTTTTTAAGTGTTCCAATTGTTAAAATATTAGATCAAGGTGACAAAGTAAGTACTTACTTTTATCATTTGTTTGTTTATTACATTCATGAATGATATCATTTAGTTTGGCTTTACTAATATTTTATATTTCAATAGGATAAAGAAAAATTAGGATCAAAGTTAACTGATATAGCTGACGAAAGTAAATATGTTGAAGGATTTGCAATGAGAGCATTCAAATTTGCTGATGACCAAGATCGTGCAGGTAAAGCAAATAAGTAAATATCATTATAATATTATCTTTATTATTTAATAGAAAAATATTTTGTTAACATATATATATTATTTTTTTTTATTTTCTAAAAATTAGGGCCACATCAACTACATTTTATTCAGCATATTTATTTTTTAATGTTTTAGAAAACTTTGGTGAACCAAGTGAAGAGGTTAAATTAAAAAAGAAATATGCAAGTTGGAGATCAGTAGATATTAATAATGCTATTAAAAATGGTGTTGCACCATCACCACCACCGGCAATTGAAGAGCCTGAAAGCAGTGATAATGGTATTACAAGTCAAGAGGAGGATGAGTTAAAAAAACTCGAAAAAGAATTAGCAGAGTCTGCTAAGATACAAGGTTTCAATACTAATGGTTATGATGACATGTCAACTTCACCACAAAATAATAGTAATAGTAATAGTAATATGTCATCATCATTTGATTTTCCATCAGCACCAAAATCATTTGATTTTGATGAACCATCAACAAATAGCGATAATAATAATAGAAATAGTTCACTCAATAATAGTTTTTCATTTCCAACCTTCCCATCAGCACCAACTAATACCAAACCTGCTTTTCCATCATTCCCACCAACACCAAATCAATTAGGTGATAGTACAAATAAACCAGCTTTCCCATCATTCCCATCAACACCAAACCAATTAAGTGACAGCACTAATAAGCCTGCTTTTCCCTCATTCCCATCTCCAACAAACTCCAATAATAGTAATAAACCTGCTTTTCCTTCATTCCCATCACCAACCAACTCTAATAACAGTAATAGTAGCAATAGTAATAAACCAACATTCCCAACATTCCCATCACCAACAGATAATAGAAATAGTTCACTTGGTAATAGTTTAAATTTTCCATCTTTCCCATCACAAAAAAACAATGATATGTCAAATTCTCTTAGTAATAGTTTTAATTTCCCATCAGTTAGTTCAAAAGAACCAAGCTATAATGACGAAGAGTTTGAAATTAAACCATATAATAACAATAATATGAATAATAGCTATCATGAATCATCATCACCACCACCATACGAATTTAATAATAATAATAATAGTAACAATAGATCATCACCACCATCATATCAACAACAAGATTCACAACAAAACCAACAATTATTATCAGAAAATGAAGAATTAAAACAACAAAATCAACAACAATTACAAATTATTCAAAAACAAAAACAACAACTTGAACAACAACAAAAACAATTCCGATCATTTATGAACGAACTCGAAGAACAAAAAAAACAAAATGAACAATACCAAAATGTTATTAGACAACAAAAACAACAAATTACAGCAATGCAAATGAATGGTGGAGGTGGTGGTAACTTTAACTACAATCCAAATTTCGAACCAAATGAAGATCAAAAATCAGATGCTCAAAAATATGCTAAATGGGTTGTTTCTTCCCTCCAATTTGACGATGCTCAATCCGCTATTAAAAATCTTAAACTTTCTTATAAGCTTTTAACCGGAGTAGACCTTTAAAATAAAATAAAATATAATATAATATAATAATATTTATTTTGTATAAATAAAACATAATTCTTTAGATAAATATATTTTTTAAAAAGCTAGATTAATTTATTTTATTTGTGAATAAAATTTATTTTATTCATATTTGTTTTCGATGTTGTTTAATAATATGGTTGTTGGTATGTAGTTGTTGTTGTTGTAGTTGGTTGTACCATAACAGGTGGAGCAACAGGAATATATTGACCAGTTCTTTGGTCATAAACCATTTGTGGGGCAACTGGAGGAGGGGCAACACCTACTACTGGAGTATTGTATACTGTTGTGGTTGAATATTGAGGTGGGGGTTGAGGATGGTAATATCTTGGTTGTGTTGCTGCACTAGCTAACATACCAACACCAACACCAGCGGCAAGTGTTCCTAAACCTGATCTTCTTATTGGTCCTCTTCTCATTGGTGGTCCTCTTCTTCTCATTTTATTTGTTTTTTATTTCTATAATTTAAACTATTATTTAAACTTTATTTGTTTGAAATTGATTATTTAAATAAAAATATTATTATTATTAATTGTATTTGTCTTTAACTTGTTGAATAAAATGTTCTATTTTATATTTTAAAATTTGGGATTTTGAAAATTTCATTAGTTTTTTTTATTTAGCTTTTAAGATTTGAAATGAATACTAATTTGAAAAAAAAAATTTTAATTTATAATTTTTGAATATTAAAAAAAATTAAATTAAAATTAAAATATTAAAAAAGAAAAAAAAAAAAAAAAATTATAATTCCTTTATTAAGAAATAACAAATTATTTCAAAAAAAAAAAAAAAATTTTAATATTTTTATTTACTTTTTTTTTTTTCTTTTTCCTTTTTTTAAATAATAATAATGATTTTTTATTACTTTTAATAATGTTTTTGGTTTTATAATAAAGTCTTTTCAATAATTAAAAAAAATATCATATGATACATCTTTTTATAAAAATTGATTTCTTTTAAAAGAATTTTAAGAAAATATTTTTTAATTTTGATATAATTTTATACGATATGTAAAATTTAAAATCGAGTTATAACAACATAATTATTTTCGAAAATTCTTTACCTATTTAATTAAAACTTTATAATTTTTTTTTTTAATTTAATAATATTTTATTTTAATTATTTTTTTTATTTTTTTTTTTTATTTTTTTTTTTATTTTTTTTAATTTTTAATTTCATTTTTTTTTTTTTTTAAATAATAAATTGTAATAATCGATAATATTATTTATTGATTAGTATTTGTAAATAGAAAACTTAAAAACAATAGATGTCATTATATTTAATTAATCCGATAGAAAGTAAATTTTATAATAATCAATTATAATCACACAAAAACCCTAAACTAATTGGTTATTTTTAACAGAATCATCAGAAAATAATAATGCACAACATAATTTATTGGAACAATTTAACTTGTTTAAAACATTAAATGAATTTAATTCAAAACATTTATCATCAACTTATAAATCATATGTGAAAAATTTACCAGGCGATAATTATATAAAAAGAGAAAAATCAAAACATAGCAGTGGTAACCCTCAACAACCACAAGATCCAACAAACCAGCAACAGCAACAACCACAGCAACCACAACAGACATCACCACAGCAACAAGAACAAAAGCCCCCTACTGGTGGATTAACTAAATTGGTAGAGGGTAATATTAATACAGATGATTTTCAACAAGAGTTAATTTTATTATCATTGGATGATAGTCAGTTAAGATCGGCTTTTACATTACAAGATGGTGGCTATCAAAGACCAGATAAGAAAAGAGATAAAAAACATAGAGACAGAGACAGAGACAGAGATAGAGATAGAGACAGAGAAAGGGACAGAGATAGAGATAGAGATAGAGACAGGGACAGAGACAGAGAAAAAAAGAAAAGAAAGCATAGAGAAGGCGACCCTAATCTTGTTGATGGTGATAAAAAGAAAAAATCAAAAAAAGATCGTTCATCAGATCAACAGCATATAACTGTCGAGCATTAATCATGTCCATTACATAGTAATTATAAAAAAATAAAATAAAAGACCTCATCTTTTTGTAAATATAATAAAGAAACAATATTTTTTTTATAAATAATAATATAATATTGGTTTTTAAATTATTAAATTGCTTTTTTTTTTTAAATAATATTACATTGTTGTTTTATTTTTTTATTTTACTTTGACATATAATCCATTAATTCTAAGAGTACATTCGAACCAATGTCATTTAATAAACCTAATTTTACCAATTCCTTATGATTACGAGCCATAAAATTTAAGCAGAGCTTTCTTAATTTGGTCAATTTAAAGTTGTCAGCTTCTTTAAAGATGTTTACTACAGTTTCGCATTCTATACCCTCGGTGGCTTTGGATTCGCATACAGTTTTTAATCTTGGTACACAATAAAGATCAGCGAGATAGAGAATACCAATACAATTTTCCAATTCTACCAATTGCTCGTTACCACTATAGAGGAATTCTATTAAGGTTTTGAAATCGTCATGACGTTCATTGATTGTGATTTCTTTTTCATAAGTTTCTTTGAGGCCACTTGAAAATAATGATTTAAAGTATGGTGATCTAACTGAAAGAATATTACGATGTGCATGAATTTGTTTACCCTCAACGTTGAATGTGACATCGCTAAAGAATTCTTTGGCTTTGGTAAAAAGCATTGAAAAGTCCTCTACCAAATTGTCGCTTGGAATTGGCACTGGACTTGGAAAAGAGTATTCCCAAAAATCATTATAGATGCATGAATGATGTGTACCACCATATAAGAAAAGCTTTGGTTTACCACCACCACCATAGTTTTCAATTAATACAGTTGAATGTCTTCTTCTTTTTGGTGGCCCTTCTGTTATAATTTGTTTCCATTCGTCTTTATCGAAATCAAATGAATAAAAATCTCTTAAAAATCCTTTCTTTTTTGAATAACCTCCATAAACTAGCATTTTATCTTGAAAAACATTTGCAGAATGGCCAAATCTTGACTCTGGTATTAAAACTTCATTTGATGGTGTTGAATTAGTTGTGGTTGTTGTTGATGCTGCATCAGTGGTATTATTTACAGTTGTTGATTTATATTTTACTAAACTCCATTTTTCTTGCTTAATGTCATATCTCCACAAGTCTGGTGATGGTACATTGTCAGTACCATATCCACCATAGAAATAAATACATTTTCTACCGTCCATGTGTTTGTAGTAAACTGCAGAACCCAATCTACCCAATGAAGGGGCTGGAATCTGACGCCAGGTATTGGTTGAGATGTTGTATACTTTGCAATTAGTAAAACAATTTGAGGACATTTTTGAATTTGTATAAATTGTTTGACTACCACCAATAATATAAATTTCATCGTCTACAACCACACTACAATGGCCATCTCTTGGTTCGATTGTTAAATTTTCAGGATTGCTTGTTTGGTTTATTTCGAGTAAGGTCCATTCTTTTTCATCCAAATTGTATCTCCAGAGTTCGCAAAGAGTTTTAAAAACTTTAGCTGTTGCATTTGAAAAGAATGATGTTCTCTCGTCTTCATATACACCACCACCAAAAACATACATACAGTTTTCATGAATAACTGAGGTATGAACAATTCTATTTCTGAGTGGACATGCCAATGTTTGCCATTGAAAGCTTTCTAAATCTAATCTTAAAAAAGATACAAATCCTGGACTATTTGTATTTGAATCTGATCCACCATAGCTATAAATAAAATTCTTATAATATACCAATGTATTATCTGTGGGCGAAAGTGGGTGGTTTTTTATATTTTTAAAAAAAAAAAAAGATATTAATATTTTATTTTTTTTCAACTATAGTATATTATTTATACATACCAAATCTTGGTGTTGGTGTATTAGAAGTTGAAATAATTTTCCAATTAACTGCAGCAGAGTTATTCAAATCTATGTGAAGGCTTGATATTAAATTATTTGGGGATGAGGAATCTGAATTATTATTATTATTTGAATTACTCTCTCCTACTACTTCATTATTATTTATTGTTGAAGTTGACATTTCTTATTTTTATCTATTGAAACAGAAAACAATTATTTATTTATAGTGCAAATGAAATAGTTTAAATTTAAAAATAAAAATAAAAAATTTTAATTTATAAAAAAAAAAAAATAAAAAAAAATTAAATTATTTTTATAATAATTTTTTTTCAAAAATAAAAAAGAAAAAATTAAATTGTCACATATGCCACCAATGCTAATGCTGTTTAATTAGCTTATTAATTAAAAACACATACACAAATATTATAGTGCATTTATGACATACATATTTTGAAAGCATATAAAAAAAATAGAATTACTATCTCTATTTATATTATATATATATTTATTTAGAAATTATATATTTATTTTTTAAAAAAAAAAAAAAAAAGAAAAAGAAAAGAAAAAAAAAAAATAAAAAAAATTATTTTTTAAAATGTCATCAAAAAACGACGAGAAATCAATTTTTTTTTTATTTTTTAAATAAATTTTTATTATAAAAAATGAAAAATAATGAGGGAGAAATCTCAATTCCCCTCAGTGTAATTATTTCAAATGATAATAGTGCCGAAGATTATATTGATAATAATGAATTAGATAATATAAATATAGAAAATAACAATAGTATAATTACTAATGACAATAATAATGACAGTAATAATGACAGTAATAATGACAGTAATAATGACAATAATAATGACAATAATAACGAGAATAAACTAAATAAAAATAAAGTACCAACTTTTGCATATGTTATATTAGCAATTGCATTACTAACAATGTCATCATCTGGCACATTTCTAAGATCAATTAATGTACCACCACTATTAAAAGCTTCATGGCGTTTACAAAGCACATCAGTTTTATTATTTTTTGGCTTTGTTTATGAAATTGTAATAATTTATGACTATCATATTAAAATACTCCAAAAGATACCACCAACTATAATTAATAAATTACCACAGTTTTTAAAAAATAAATTAAATAATTTAAATAATTTTAATCAATTGGGTGATGAAGAAACTTTACAAAATCAAATAAATCAAGAAAATAACAATAACGATAATAGCAATAATAAGAGTACAGATAATAATAACGATTTTAATAAAGAAGAAATTAAATTAAAATTATTTCAACCTAAAACAATTATTCTCTTACTATCAACTGGGTTTATATTGTCAATACATTTCGCACTTTGGATCACTTCCCTAGATGAAACAACACTATCACATAGTTTATTATTTGTAACATCATCCCCATTAATGGTAGTCATTGTAATGTTAGTTAGAAGAATACCAATTTCAAAAGGAGAGGTAATAGGGTGTGTTTTGGGTTTTGTAGGTTTAATTGTAACTTTATTCGACTCATTATTTTTAAATGAAAGGGATCAAGATAATAGTGCCAGTAACAGTATCAGCAGTAGCATCGAAGGAAATAATGCAAAGGGCCAAACTCCAACATTTTATGGTGATATGTTAGCTTTACTTGGTGCAGTTTGTCTAGTATTTTACTTATTTGCAGGTTCTCATTTAAGAAAGTGGATGCCTATCTTTTGTTATGCCTTTACTGTGACATTTAGTGCATCTGTATTTTTAACTTTAGGCTCATTAATTTTCGAAAATAGACAAGGTAATGGTATATTTGGTTGGTTATCATCATCATTCATATTAGTAGCACTATATATAGCATGTAAGTATTAAAATTAATTAACGTAACCCATAAGAAAAAAAAATATTAATATATTGTAATTTAATTCAGTTGGTCCAGGGTTTTTAGGACACACAGGTATGAATTATGTTGTTAAATATATTGAACCTGTTGTTATTAGTGTAACATTGCTATTAGAGCCACCTATTGGTACCGTTATTGGTTATATCGGTGGGGTTGCTGGAGAATTGCCATCGTTATATACTTACTTGGGTGGTGTTTTAATTTTGGGTGGATGTTCTATTTGTACAATATCATCTCATTTAAAAAATAAAAATAAAAAATAAAAAATATAAAATTTAAAATATAAATAAACAATAAAACTTTACATATTAATACAACTTTAAAATTAATTTTTATCTTTTTTTTTAACTTTTAATGTACTTTAAATTTATATTTTAGCTTTATCATCTGATTCGTTATATAATTATAATGAGATCTTAACTCCATTATATTAGGTGAAAGTATAATAAAATTATAAATTTTTTTTTTTTTTTTATGAATGAAAAGGTTAATATTTTATATGTCATTTTATAGAGAATTTAATGAATTTTTCAAATCAGATTATATTTTTAATTAAAATACTCAATTTTATATAAAACATACATGTGTTTAAATTATCAAAAAAAAAAAATTTAAATTTTTTTAAAAAAAAATTATAAAATAGTAATTATAAAAAACTCACTCTTCTGAGTTTAAACATTACTATTTTTTTTGATTTTATTATATTTATTATATTATTTTTTATTTTTTATTTAATTTTTTTTTTTAATAAATTTATTAAATATTTTTTATTAAAAAAAAATTATAAACAAAATAAATTTTTTTTTTTTATTTTTTTCAAATTATATATTTCAAAAACAAATAATTTTACATATATTTATTATTTATATCACACATTAATAATCATAAAAATGTATAGTTTAATTGCTATTTTCTTAATTGTTATCACCATTTGTTTTTTATTATATAATAAAATCAAAAATAACAATAATAATAGTAATAATAATTATATTAATAATAATAATAATAATAATAATAATAATAATAATAATAATAATAATAATCAACAACAACAATATCAACAACAATATCAAACTAATGGAGATTTTAACTTCCACCACCAACCAAGAAATCAATATCAATCTCCACCACAACAACATCAACAACATTACCAACCATATGGAGATTTTAACCATTATCAGCAACAAAATCATCATTATCATTCTCCACCACAACAGACACAACCACCAATGAACCCATTTCAAAGCCAATATCAATCTCCACACCATCCACAACAAAATTACCAGCCATATGGATACAACAACCAGTATCAGCAACCAAATCATCAATACCAATCTCCACCAATGAATCCAAACAATAGCTTTAATAGAATTTCAAAGAGATCATTGGAAGCTGGTGAAAAAGAAATGGAGTCCAATAAAAAATTTAAATTTGATGATGAAAAAGGTAATTTAAATAAAGCCTATGGAATTTCAAAGAGATCATTGGAAGCTGATGAAAAAGATGAAAATTCCAAAAAGAAATTTAAATATGGAGAAATATCAAATAAATTTAATGAATTTTCTAAGAGACCATTGGAAGTAAATGAAAACAATGTAGATTCCAAAAAAAAATTCAAAGAAGATATTTTAAACAAAAATGGAATTTCAAAAAGATCATTGGAGGCTGATGAGATTGTTGCAAATTCAAATAAAAAATTTAAAAGTTGGTGATGATTAAATTAGAAAATCCTTAAATTAGAAAAGGAAATATAGTTTTTATAATTAGTTTTTACAAATAGATACCCATAGAAATTTTATACACCCAATTAGAAATCAATGGTAACTATTATTATTATTTTTAAATAATTATTTATATTTTTAAATATAAAGAAACTAATATTTTATTTAATATCTATATTATAAAAAATTATAATTTAAAGATTAAAAAAATAGTTTTTAAATAATTTACTCATATTTATTTTATTAAAGTCAAAAATTCCCTATTCATTAGATTCAAGTTCCAATAACTCATGGTGGTCATTGGGCAACCTCTTCTAACTTTGCAGTATGTGCATCACTTAGTGTAGGTTCCTTTCAATTAGTTTTAAATAATACCGGTTTATCTCTCCTAGTATATGGTGATACAGTATGGTATCCATATAACTTTCAATTTACCCAAAATTATGAGTTTCTTTTTATACTCCCAAAGTGCTTCTCCGCCTGTATGGCTTTAAAATACTCATTCATTAGAAGGTATGTAAAAAATATATAAATAATCATTATATTTCAACTAAATAATATACTTACCACTTTAAATAACTCATTAGGTTCCTTTATTAATATTCTTCCAAGTGGCTCTTATGGTTGTCAATGGTCAAGGGTAGATTTGGTCCAATTGTTTCAAACACCGTGTTATTCTTTTAATACCAGAAAGCTATATCAATAGATTAACCAATGGATAATACTATTTAAGTTTGCGCCTAAGCTAAAACACATCCAAAACCGTTACTATTAAAGCATCACATTGGTTTATTTCAAAAGATTATCAAGTATAACTATTCACAATTCTTAACAAAAGGTTTAAAAGTATGCATTGGTATTATTGGGTATGGTTATTCAAAATAGTGCAAGTTCAATGGTATGGGGTAGATTTGGCCAATTGTCTCCAATACCAGTGTTATGTCACTCATTCCGGTAAATCTATCAATTGATTAGATCCTGCAAATAATATTCTTAACAATTATATTACAAATGGTCGTGACTATTTATCTATGAACTCTAGAATAATAAATAGAAGCTATGGTATTTTATAATAATAATCCAATTTTGCTACACCAACTCTTTAGTATAGTCAATTGGAAGAATAGATATTAAACATAATGTTCGTGTTTAAAGATAGCGAATTAAGTAAAAACATAGTTTCATCATCTGCAATAAAATATATAAAAAAAAATTTATAAATTTTTTTTTAAATAAAATATAAACATTCAAAAATATCTTTTTTTTATTTTTTTTTTATTTTTTATTTTTTTATTTTTTTTTTTTCTCATATTTTCTCTAAAATAATGAATAACAATCAAATACTAACTCGTCAAAATCATCAAATCGATGTAATATGTGTGGGAAATAGAAAAGTTGGTAAATCTGAATTTTTAAAAAAATATTGCCAAGAAACCATCAATCCAGAATTTAAATTCCAAAGTATTGTAAAGAATGACAAATATTTTAAATTTAGGTTTTATGATGTTGAGGAATTTTATCCTCAATTAAATAGATATTTAGGCGCAATATTTGTATATGATATAACAGATCCTCAATCATTTGAAGATATAAAATCATATTATTACAAACATTATTTAAGATCAAGAAAAGATAACCTATATGTAAAAAACAATAAAGATTCAAACGATGAATATAAAGAAGACTACAACCAAAAGAATCATCAATTAAACCAAAATATAGACGATAATGATAGTAATAATAATGACAACATAGACAATAGAATGGACGAATTGTTCTTTAAAGTATTTAGGAATCTATATATAAGAAATCTTATATTCCAGTATGTAAAAAAAAGAGATATAATAGTAAAGTTTTTAATTGGTACAAAACTAGATTTAAAAAACAAAAACAAAATCTATAAAGATAACGGTGAAAGTGACACTGATGATATTAAAATAGAGATCAATTCAAGAGATAGTACAACAAACCAGAGATTAAACAAAAAAAATAAAAACAATAATTATATCGATAGTGATTCAACTAGTAACTATGTATCAAATGAATGTGCTAAAGAGTTTGCTGAAAAGATAGGAGCTAAATTTTATGAAGTATCATCGGTCGAAAATTTAGTTCAAATAGATCAAATATTTGAAGAATTAATAGAATTGCTGACTAAAAGATATGAAGTGTATGGGAGTGTGGACAAAAGAGAATCTTCATCAGTTGTACCACAGTCCATTTTAAGAAGTAGAAATAACCTTTCATCGTATTATTTTAAAAGAAAATGTATAATAAACTAAATAAAGGTTATAAAAATGTATATATTTTATTTTTTTTAAAGTTTATTTATTTATTAGTTTTTTTTACTTTTTTTTTTTTTTTTTTTATATTTAATTTAATTTAAATTATTTATTCATCATCTTCTTCTTCGGCATCTTCTTCGGCATCATAATCTTCACTGTTAAAATCATCATCGTCTTCATCATCGTCATTTTCAACATCTTCTTCTAATAAAACTGAGAATGGATCTTCATAAAGTTTGGAGAATTCATCTAAAGTTTCGACATCTGGTTCCTCAGATTCTAACCAAGAGAGGATGAAACTTGATTCTGAAAAGTTTTGCTTTCTCTTTTTATTTTTATCGTTCTTGTTTTCTGTTTTGTTGGTATTGTTATCGTAATATTCAATTTTGGTGACGTTTACTTTGACCTCTCCATTTTTATCGATGACATTTTCTTTTGAGATTTGTTTGTTTTTGAAAATTGAGTTGTCTTTAAAATAAAAAGTGATTTTCTTTGATGTGGTTTCGGCTTCTACATCGACTTTGTTTTCAACTTCCATATTAACGAGACAATCAACGACAGCTTGATCATTATCTGCAAAGTTATTGATCATGGATTGAGTGAGAATTGATGACCAAAATCCTTCAAAATCTTTAGTTTTACTTAATAATTCTGATCTTTTTTTAAATTGAGCTGCCATTTGTTCGGTATATTTATGTTCAATAGCTAACATTTTCTTTTTATTTTGTTCATAAATTTCTCTAATCTTTTCATTTATGGTATCTAATTTTTCTTGAATATCTTTTGGGATTTGTGAGGCTTCTGATTTTGATTGAGCTGATTGTTCACTTTCGTTAATAACTTTAACTTGTTTTTTGTTTGCCTTCATTCTTTACTTGATTTTTTTTCTTTTCTAAATTAAAAATAAACAATTAAAATGAAATTTAAATGATAAAAAAAAACGAAAAAAAAAAAAAAAAAAAAAAAAAATTTTTAAAATTAAAAAAAAATTAAAAATAAAAAAATTAAAAAAAATAAAAAAAAAATTATAAGCAGAAACAATTAACCTTTCAAAGACAAATATAATACCGAAATTAAAATAAATTGTTAAAAGAAAAATAAAAACAAACTTTATATATTGATCAAAATAACATGTATTCAATTTGATTAAAAATAAAATTAAATTTTTATTAATAACAGTTTAAAAAAGAATAAAAAAATTTAAAATGAAAATTAAAAAAAACAATTCAAATTCACCCGTTTACTTATACCATTGTGTTGTTCAAGGGCAACTATAAAACCACTTTTTTTAAAAACAATCAACACTATGTTTTTAGAACCCACGCTATTTTTTTATTTTTAAAACATACAAAAAACCAATTTTATTATCTCATTTTTAATAATTTTCAAATATAAAATAAAAAAATAAAAAAATAAAAAATTAAATAAAATTCCAAAAATGGTTTTTGATTATATTAAATTGATGAAAAAAAAATTATTATGAAATATCTTAAAACATTTTATCCGTTAAACTGGAGAAGTTGTTAAACCACAACAAATTCAAATTTAAAAAAAAACAAAAAAAAATAAAAAAAAAATGAAATATTTTTATTATTTTTTTTTTTCTTTTGTTTTTTTTTTTAATTTTTCGTTTAATTTACATTTTTATTATATTGTATATCACCACTTTATAATTTATATTAAATAAATAAATAAATATAATTTTATTATTAATATTCAATAAACACACCCACACAATAAATTTATTAATTTTTCAAAATAATAATTTCCCCCCAAATTTTTTTTTTTTTATATTAAATAATAATTAAAAATAATGTATGGTGCTCAATTCAAAAACTCTGCAGGTTTTAAAGATGTATTATTATTTTCATCCAACCCAGTAATGAACAGTTCAGCAGCAGGTACATCGGTACAACCAACTCTTGTAGTGCCACCAACTACAAATAATAATAATGAAAACCCAATTAAAATTACAACCCCAAAAAAATCAGTACTCAGAGATTACAGTAGTGGTCCATTAAGTGATGTTAAAAATCTTCAATCCATTTCATCCGATAGTTCATCCGATGAAGTTGATGATGAAAAAAATTTAAGAGTTTTACAAGGTTCACCAACCAGTAGCCCAGTATGTATTTAATATAATAAAATATGATATAATATTATAATATAAAATATTATTGTATACTAATTTTTATTTTACTTTTTGTAGAACTATAAAAGCCCAAAAAATAAAACTTTAAAACAAAAAAGAGTCAGAAATATTGTAAATAATTTACCAGCCATCAAATCTTTGGATGATGTTGTTAAATTACAAGAAGAGATTACTGAAAATAGAGATAAGATTTCAAGTTTACAACAACAATTATCACAATCACAAAAAGGTAATATTACCTAATAGATATATACACTAAAAATAATAAAATAACAATATATATTAATATTTTTTTATTTTTATTTTTTTTATAAATTTAGAAAAATTAAATATTGAAGAAGAAAAAACAAATTTACTTAAACAATTAAGAGACTTGGATGAAAAACAAAAGCAAACAGAACAAAGAGAAAAAGAAACTAAACAATTATTAGTAGAGTCTGAAAAGAGATTAAATGATACTATTGAATCATTACATCAAGAATTTGATCAAAAGATATCCAAGTTTAGAGAGGAGAAATCAATTACTGATAATCAATTATCATTGTTACAAGTAAAGAATAAAGAATCAATTGAACAATTAGAAAAAATTCAAAAAGAAAAACAAGAAATGTCAGAATTCCTTTTAAAAGAAAAACAAGTTATTGAAAAACTTGAAGAGGTATTAAAACAAACAGAAAGCTCCAACCAAGAAACAACCTCAACATTAAACTCTACTGTTGATCATTTAAAGAGCACTTCAAAAGAGTAAGAATTTTTCATTACAATACCACCCCATTAATATTTTATAAAATAATTTACTAATTGGTTTATTTTTTTACTAGTTTATTTTTTTCACAATGTTTATCAATTAAATTGGATTTATTAATGAGTAATAAGCCATGCAACTTATCAACACAAGAGCTTTGGGAACAAGCTGAAAGACTTAGCTCATCAAGCTATACTAAATGGATTACAAATAAATTTAATGAATATCAAAATAATTTACCACCACAATCACCAATTAAATCTGTTTATACAAATAAAAATGCCACAACCACCACCACAACCACCACAACAACATCATCCAACAAATCACCAAAAAGAAATAACAAAAAGAAAAACTAATTATTTTTATAAAACACCCAATTTTAATTTTATTTAATTTATATAAAAAGAAACAGAAAAAAAAAAAAAAAAAAAAAAAAAGAAAAGATTATTATAACATAAACTTAAATAAAAATTTAATTATTATTTATTTATTAATATAAAAAAAAAAGGTTTTTAATATTTAATTTTTTTAATTACATAAAATTAAATATGGTCTATAATTTATTTATTTATTTAACTTGTTTGGTTCTTTTAGTTACAGTTGATTTCTTTTCTTTTTCATCTTCAGATGATTCAGATTCAATGGATGGTTCATCCTTTACTGATGATTTTTTAACTTCTTTAACTGTTGAGGTGGTGGCTTCAGTAGTAGTTGATGGTTGTTGTGGTTTTGGATTAGTTTTTTTTGATGGTTTAATTAAACAAAATACGAATGGTAAGATGATTGTGCTGAAGGCGACAATGTAGAGCATTGGGTTTTCATCAGCGGTAGCTTTGAAGAAATTGAAATAGTCAATAGCAGTTTGGAAGATATTTGATGATTGTTCTAAATTTTTAGCTTCTTCAGCTTCTTTAGCGAGTTGTCTATCAAGTTGGACTTGATGCTTTGGTTTCCAGAGTTCTTCGATGACTTTTTTGGCTTCTTCTTTGTTGTGGGTGATAATAAAGTTATCAAAGAGGATATCTTTTGACATTGTCCAGATTTCAACACCGATGGCAGTGATTGGGTCGACGATATATGGGTTTTCGACTTCAAAGTAGTTTGGATTGTCAATTTGTTTTGGCTTCCATTCACCTTTGTATGCTGGATTGGCAACCATTGGAGCAGTCCATAGACCTTTGTATTCTGGATTGGCAACTAATGGAGCTTCCCATTCACCATCATCTTCGACGTTCCATTCTTCTGGTTGTTTTTCGTCTGGATCGGCAATATATTGTGGAATAGTTTCATCCCAATCATCTGGTCTAACAGCATTTGGATCTGGAATTTCGGCTTGGTCAACCCAATCACTTGGTTTGCTGTCAGTTGGATCGTCAATTTGTTTTGGTGGATTGAAAGCTGGAGTGAAGGCATCGTGGAAATTACCATCTAAAACGGATTCACCATCAACAAGAATTGAGAAAGTGTTGTCTGGTCTAATGTGAAGAGTGTAGACATGTGAAATTTTATCAGTTCTAACTGGTGGTTTGGCAGTGATTAATTTCTCTTCGTATTCTTTAGTAATTGGGTTTTGGTGACGAACAATGAAATGAATACGATTGTTTGGGTTGCAAACATCTGGACCAAACATAATGCTGTATGGAGTATCGGATTTAACTTGATCAGCTTCAAATTCTTTTTCACTTTCAGAGTATAACTTGACGTATGAACCACCACAAGTGATACCTTCTTGGAATTGAACTTCATATTGTACAATTAAATCTTTATCTTTATTTATGATTGGTTTGTTTAATTTTGAGGTGATTGCATATTTCTTTGCTAATTCAGTGAATACCATTGATGTATCATTTGCATCAACTGGGTCATTAGCGGCTTTGAACTCAATTACACCACTGTAATCAGTGTTGCTTGATTTTACCCATTTATTATCTTTACTTACATCTTGAAAATCTTCAAAAAATAATGTATCTTTTGATGGGGTAAATGATTTACATAAATTAAAAACTATTGATAAAATTAATAATTTTAATAATAATCTCATCCTTGATTTATATTTTAAATTTTATATAAATATAAAATATAGAACTTGAAACAAATTAATTTAAAAATATAAAAAAAAAAAAAAGTGTGAAAAAAAAAAATTTCAAAAAATTTTTTTTTAAAAATTTCAAAAAAAAAAAAAAAAATAATCATCATCATCAACAAAAATCATAATAAATAAAATTATTTAAGTTTGGGATACTTATATATTAGTTTTTACTCTTTCAAAATAATATAGTTTTATTTATATATATATATTTAATTTGATATTTTTTATTATTTTTTTTTTATTTTTATTTTTATTTTTTTTCTTTTATTATTTTTTATTTTTTTATTTTTTTTTCTTTTATTATTTTTTAATTTTTTAATTTTTTTTTTTATAATTTTTTTTTTTTTAATTTTTTTTAATTTTTAAAATTTATAATTATTAGAACACTGCAACATTGTCGAAACCACCTCATTCACTTAAATTATTTATTTGTTTTTTATATTGGAGAATCAATTATTAATTTAAAAGTGTTGTAGTTATATATATGTTATATATATATAATTAATATTATATATTAATCTAAAAATATATATTTTTCCCCATTTTTCACCATTGTTATAAACACATACACACTCATATACTGTATTGTTTGTTCGAAAAATGGAAAAGTTAAAAAGCTTACTATCAGTAATTGTTTCTGATTTGAGAACAATTTCTCAAGAAGGTAGAAATAAGTTTCAGAACATTAAAGATGTCTCTGAAAGAGTAATTTTAACCATCAAATATTTAGAGGAACAAAGCACAACTTCAGAGCAATTAATGCAAAGTATGTATTCATATTTATTATATATTTTTAATAATGGCTGATATTAATATTTAATTTTAATTTAATAGATTTAAAAATTAAAAGTGAAGAAATCATTAAACCATTTTTAATGGCATTGGAAACTAAAAATCAAAAAATGATTTCCATTGCAATCGGTTCAATATTAAAGTTAATTTCCCATTCATCAATTTCAATTGTAATATAGATTTTTAGATATATTTAAATATTTAATCATATACTAATACCCCTTTTTTTATTCACAGAATTCATTACCTTTAATTTTAAATAAAATGCAAATGTTAATTGATGTTGGATCAGATGAGTCAGTTCAATTAAAAGTATTACAGGGTTTATTGGTATTAATAACAACTATGGGCGATATTCATGATGATACTTTATCACAATGTTTGGTTTTATGCTTTAGATTACACTGCAGTAAAAATATATCAATTCAAAGTACTTCATCAGCAACTTTACCACAAATCATTAGAATTATTTTTGATAGAGTTTCAGCAGAAATTAAAGAGTCTACTAATATTCCAACTACCTCAACCACACCACCAACATCAGACGAAAACAAAGATGATGGTACCGATAAAAAAGAAGAACAAAAATTAGAAGAATCAAAAGAACAAAGCGAAGATTCAACAGCAACAACAACCGAAGCTGAGCAAAAAGAATCAACCACTACTACTGCCGAACAAATAGCACCAACTTCAACAGCATCATCACCAGCAACACCATCAATTATACCAGCTAATATTAATAAATCACCAGTTTCAACATTGAAACCAGCAGCCAAAGATGCATATTTACTCTTACAAGATTTGTGTTATATAACAGGAGGAGATTCACCAGAATGGTTACCACCTGCCACTACAATTTCAAGATCATCAGGTTTAGAGTTTATTGAAATGATTATTTCAGTTCATCACGATATTTTCTTTAAGGTAATTAATTTTTTGTTTTTATTTTTATTTTTATAATTTTTATAAATTTTAAATATTAACTTTTTTTCTTATTAACAGTTAAACGAATTTAAATATTTATTAAAGGATAAAATTTGTCCTTTATTAATTAAAAGTTTCAAATTTAAGATGGATTTCTATCATACAGTAAGATTAATGAGAGTCATCACTCAATTTATTTCAAAATTTAGTCAAATTATGGTTACAGAATCAGATGTGTTGTTAACAAGAAGTATCAAAATGATGGATAACGAAAACCCAATTTGGACCCAAATTTTAGCATTAGAGTCATTTAGAGTTTATTCTGAGGATCCAAATCTTTTAAGACAATTCTATATAAACTATGACAAAGATAATAATTCAGCCAAAATTTTTGAAAATATGACTATTACAATTGGGAAATATATCCAAAATTTTTATAATCTAGATTCTTCATTATTCACATTAGTAAATACATCAAAGAATAGATTGTAAGTTAAATGAACTATTATATTTAATAATTAAATTTATAAAATAGTTTTATATTAATATATAAATTTTTTTTTTTTTAGAATCGATTTATTATGGCAAAATGAACCACCTCAAATTAAAGAAAACTATATTATTTCAGTTTGTACTGAATGTATTAATGGAATTGTAAATGCAGTTTCAAAGATTAATAATCCAGATATTGAATGTGATAATGAAATATTTCCACAAATGGCAAATTCATGTTGGGTATCTATTTTAGGTGCAATTTCATTGTTATTAAGTAAATCAAATGACGAAGCATTAATTCAAATGGTATTAAAATCACTTCAATCCTTTACAAATACTTGCGGCGAATTACATTTATCTGGTCCAAGGGATGCTCTTTTAACATGTCTTTGTAAAACTACCGTATTACCATCATTCGAATTATTAAACTCAAATAATTTAAATTTAAATCAACCAGGAAAAGAAAAAGAAAAAGATAAAGAAGGCAATAAAGAAAGTAATAGTGGTAATAGTGAAGCTTCATCAAATAGTAGTACCCCACAATACTCATCTCAAAATAGTAATAACAGTAACAACAATAATGGCAATGGTAATGGCTCATCACTAATGTTTGAAGATAAATTATCCAATTTCTATCCAACCACTAAAAATATTTTATCAGTTAAAATATTATTTAACATTGCTCATTGTATGGGTTCCGTATTGGATGAGTCATGGATATTAGTTTTGGAAACTCTTGAAACATGGAATAGATTTTTCGAATCTTTCTTAAAGAAAAAAGAAAACTCGACCTCTTCAACATCAGCAACACCAAATTCAAACGATATCACCTCAAGTCCAAAAGAAATTTCTAGTCCAAGAAATATTGGTGAAGTTCCTATTTTAATGAATTCTATGGATAATTTATTCAAATCAAGTTCACAATTAGACATTAGATCCCTTCAATATCTTTTAGAGGCATTAGGTAAACTTTGTACAAGTTCATTCAATTTGAAATCATTCAATTCTACCCCAAATATGTTTGGTATTACCAAATTAAAAGATACTGCTTTAGCAAATCTTTATAGAATCGATAAAATTTGGCCAATGATTTCTGATCACATTATTGATGCTGGTAATCATAGAAATTTACAATTTAGAAAATATTCTGTCGAGTTTTTAAATTCTATTATCAAATCTACTATTTCACTTCAACAAAATAAAAAAGATAAAGAAAAAGAAAAAGAAAAAGATTTATCCTCATTACAATCACCAACTTCAGATGATTTATCACAAACTAATGAAAATGAGGATTTAAAAACAACCGCAATAACCACAACCATCACTACAGAAAGCGATAATAGTAATCAATCATCACCAGTTTCAATTGCTGCAACTACCGTCACCACTACAACTAATTATGAATCAATTGATTTTGAAAAAGAATTACAATTATTAGATAAAAACCAAATCCAATTAGAATTTTTTATTACAATGGAAGAGTTATCATTTTCAACATCAAACGATACTAAAGAAAAAGTGCTCGAGTCAATTTATATTATTTTATCAAATTCAGGTCAATCCCTTACAACAGCATGGCCAATTATTCTTAGCACATTATTAAGAATGTCCAAAGGAAATGAAAAGAGATTCATTACCTTATCATTTTCAAGTTTAGAATTGATTTGTAACGAGTTCCTTTCAAATCTTACACCAGAATGTTTAGCATTAACAATTGAACTTATTGAAAGCTTTGTATCACAAAAATCAGAAATTAATAATAGTTTGACTGCATCATCAGGTTTATTATCAGATTTAACCTATTTCTTAGCCAATGAAAATTCAATTAAAACATCAAAGTACCATGTTAGCGATGGAAAAGCATCAGATCCAGTTTTAGAGGCTCACAAACACACATCCAGTAAACCATCAATTAATCAACGTATTTATCCTTCAATTTCAGAAAATTCACCATTCTTCAAAGATAAGACTAGAAGTTTAATCGATAGAATGTGGTTATGCGTATTTAGCTCAATGAAAACACTTAGTATTGATTCAAGAGCTCCAATTAGAAACGGTGTAGTTGTCATATTTTTCCAAATTTTAACTACATATTTCCATTTATTCGAAAAGGATTTACTAGAGATAATACTTTGGGATACTTTATTCCCATTACTATCAGAGATTAAGTCATTTTCAGAAAAGGCAGATCAGGAAAGAATAGATTCCGATTTAGGTAGTGGTGTTAAATTATTAGTACATCACAGTAGAAATACTGCTCAAAAGCAATGGGATGAAACTCAAGTATTATCAATTGGTGGAATGGTTAGAATTTTTAAACAATTTTTTGATACTCTAACAACATTACCATCATTCCTTCGTTCATGGGAGTGTCTATTGAACCATTTAGAAACCGAATCAAAATCAACAAGTAAAGAGGTATCACTTTCATCACTTTCATTCCTTCATGAAATTGTCAACACATCATCAATTATTGATCCAAGCCATCCAGAGCTTAGTGAATCAATCTGGGAAACTCTTTTACGTCTATCAAAACTTTTCGATCAACAACCATCATCATCCAAAACACTTTCAGTTTATATCAAAGTTTTTACAGATCTCTTTAATAAAACTCGATCACAACTCGATCATCAACAAATGAATCGTGCATTAGGAATTATTTTCCCAATGGGTATTTCAATTGGCGACTCATCAACTGACCTTTCAAATCCACAAACTCATGCTATTCAAATCATTAAATCTTTACCACCACTTAGCGAAGATATTTTCCCTTCGATTATTGGAGTATTGTTAAAATATATTTCAATTGGAATTAACCAACCATTCACACCAAGTTCAAATTGTGATTTTATTTTCCCACCATTAATTCAAACAAAAGATTTAGTTTATTATTCAACTATTACCGAAAAATCGATCGAATTAATTTATGAATTATTTTCACATCAAACAACAACAGATTCAATGAGATCATTGGTTTTCGAGGATATTATTAAAATGTTTGGTTTTTCAATGCTAACAAAATATACTAAATATCATTCAACAATTTGGAAGGTATGTATTTAATTTATAATAATATTATTATTGTTATAAAATTTGTTTATTAATAATATTTTAATTTTTATATAGTTATCAATATCAAATTTAATTAAAATTTTACCAAGTGGTTTATTAGCAATTAATTCAGATTCAAATTATTTAAATGATATAAAGAGAAATATTATTTGGACAGAGTTGATAGACTCAATTCAAACCTTTATTTTACACGAGAGACCAAACCATCCAATTTCACCAGAAAAAAAATTAGAAGAAGACAAATATGACATTGATTTAATTAATGCAATCTCTAAAGAAATGGTAGGGTTTTCAGGTATTAAAGTTGAACGTGTTTCAATTATACGAGATAGACTTGTAGAAATTCTTCAAGAAGGTTCAATGCTCTCGGCTCATGGTCGTGAAAAAGTTGCTCAATCATGTTACCAAAATATGTTTTCAATTTGTTCAAAAGCAGAACCATCAAATCCAGAATCAATTGAAATCGCTAAAGTAGTATTACCTGTTGTTTTAAAGCGTTGCAAAGAAGTTTTACAACGTTTTGTTATAGACGAAAGACAATCCGGAAGCTATCCATTACCAAGATATCGATTATCAGAAATATCTTTTATCCTTAAAGAAATTTATGACCTCCAACTCCAACCAGGTGTTTATCACAATAATAATCAAAATTCAATCATCAAACCAGAATGTAAAAGACCTCATTTATTAGAATTATATCCAATTCTTTGTGATTGTATTTGTACTTCCGAAAAAGAAATTAAGGAATTATTAAAAAATATTTTTATAATTGTTTCAAAAGAGTTTTTAAATATTAATTAAAAATATATAATAAAATAATTAATTATTTATAAAATAAATTAAAAAAAAAAAAAAAAAGGAATTTATATTTGTTTATTTGTTTTTATTTTATTTGTTTTTAAATATTTATTTATTTATTTAAACCTATATTTTAATTTTTCTATAATTAATTTAATTTTTTTCTAATTAATTAATTATTTATTATTTTTTTTCATATACAAAATTTTGTTGAAAAACTGGAGTTGATGATGAAGAGTTTTGGTCAATAGTGTTGTTTGAGGTGGTTGTGGTTGTTGTGGTATTTGTTGGTGGTGATATATTAGATCTATTAAAAATTGATTTAAAGTTATTATTTGAAGATTGATTGGCATTTTCATTATCATTTGCATTTAGGTTTTTAATTTGGTCGGTAATAGTATCAAATGATGGTAAACTTATAAGACCTTTTGAAAGTATATTTATATTGTTTTCAATTTGGGCTTGAAGATTTGGATCTAATTGTAAACCAGTTGGTGATGTGGTAGTGTTTGCGTTAGCGGCACCAGCAGCAGCGGCAGCATTCTTTTTTAATAAATTACTATGTTTCAAATCTACTAACTGGGTAGTAGATTTTCCTAAATCATAATCACAGGAGTAAGCAACCCATTCTATTACACCCTCTTCTACATGTTTACTAAAAAGATCTTTGAGCTCGTTGACAATCTCTTGTTGAGAGAAATTCTTTTTAGATGGATGGCTGTTAATTTCTTGTTGTTTTTTATCAGAGAATTTCTTTTCCAATTTTTCTTGTTCTTCGATCAATTGAAGTTGTAACTGTCTTTTTTCTTCTTCGGAAAGTTTTGCTGTCAAGGGTTGACGTGGTTGTGGTTGTGGTTGTTGTTGTTGTGGTTGTTGTTTAACTGGTGTTGAGTCTTTTTGTTTTTGTTCGTTAACTAATTGGTCAATTACCAATTCTAAATTACCACTGCAAACCATATAAAATCCTTTTAATTCATATTCGTGAAAAGCTGTACCAAAAATATCTCTTAATGTTTGTATATCTTGTTTGAAGTTTGGGAATCTCGAGAAATCTAAAGCTGATTGTTTACTATTAGGTGAATTTTTATTATCTATACTATTATCATCGCTTTCCTTATCCTTTTCGTCCTTGACTTCCATAAGATCTTCTGTTATATTTTTTTCAAATGAAAAGTCTTCTTCCTCTTCTTCTTCCTCTTCGAGGAAATCATCCATTCTATCAAAATCATCTTGAGTATTTGTTGGGTGTGAGTAAATACCCTTATATCTTCTTTTGGTGAATGTTTTCATCTCTTGTTGTTGCAATTCTTTTGGTGTTGTAAAAGTAGTCTCGTCCTGTGGGAACGATGCAGCTCCAGTCATCACTAAACTTTTTTCTGCAAAGTCATGTCTCCTTTGGAGTTCATTAATAGATGCTTCAACATTCCAATCGTACTTGTTTAATATTTTATAAACATTTTGATCTTTTTCTAATAATGGAAACATTGATACTACTAATTCGACCGTCTCTAATCTTTCTTGAAAATTTAATACCTTTTTATTATTCCCTCCATATGGTTCAAATCTACCTAAATGATTCTCTTGATCTGTTTCCTTTTTATTTTTATCTAAACTATAATCTCTAATAGATGGTAATGAACTATCATTATTTATTGGTTTATCGTTATTTATATTACTATTATTATTTGTATTATTATTATTATTGTTATTGTTATTATTATTTTTATTGTCTAAATCATCATCATTGGTTTCAAATGTTTCTTCTTTTATATCTTTATTTTCCGTTGAAGTTGTTGTTGTGGTTTGTATTGGAGGTGATGATGAGTTCATTATTTAATTTTAAAAATACAACAAATTTATATAAAAGTAATATTTAAGTATATTATCTATTTGTTAAAAGTAATATTATGTATGTATGGATGAATGATTGTGTTTTATCAATGATTATAAAATAAAATTAATAAATATATAACAATAATGATTGATAGAGTTTTTATTAATTTAAGGAAGTATAAAAAAATTAATTATAGATGTACAAAAAAAAAAAGAGAAAAAAAATTAGAGGTATTTGAAAATTAAAAAAATAATAAAAAAAAAAAAAAAAAAATAAAAAAAAAATAAAATTAAAAATTATTTTTTAAAAAAAAAAAAAAAAAAAAATGGAATTTATAAATTAAAAATTATAAGAAAACTGAGCTATAAATATAAATAAATTATAATTGTTATTATTTGATGGAATATTTTATATATTGAACAAAATTATAACTATAAATATTAAAATTAACTTTATAATTTTTTAATAATTTTATAAAATTACATTTTTTTGAAAAAATAAATTAAATTTAATTTATTTTTTATTTTTTAATTTTTTATTATTTTTCATATTTTTTTTAATTTATGTAAATTAAAGTAATAATTTTTTTTTTTAAAAATTAAAATAAACAAATGTTTAAAATTGTAAATCTAGTATACAAGTAATTCATCCTTTGTTTTTTTATTTAATAAATAATATATTTATTATGTATTTATATATTTAGTCAAACTTGGGTTTGACTTTTTTTTTTTTTTTTTTTTTTTTTTTTTTTTCACGATCCAATTTTTATTATAATAATCATTTTTTTTTTTCATTTTCATTTGGATTTTTTATTTCTTTTTTTTTTCTCACCCAATTTTATTTTTTAATTTTTTGAATCGTATAAATATTTTCGCTTATATAAAATATTAGTATCAATAATAATTTAGAGTAAAAATGGATTTTAATAAAAATAATATTTATAATTTAGATAAAACTTCAATAGAATTGTGTGAATTTTCAAAGCCAAAAAATTTACAACCATATCAATTCAGAGAAATATACAAAGATAAATATATTGAAGATAATAACAAATATAAAAGTGTTTCCAGAAAATTTGAAGTACCAAAAGAGTATGGTGAATCAATTAATGTATTATTTTATTATCCAGATAATTTCGATCAAAATAGTAGCACCAAGTTACCAGTAATTATCTTTGTTCATGGTGGTGGATTTATTGTAGATGGACTAAAAAAACTTCCAAATGAACTATGCAATAGAACCAATTCAATAGTGGTATACCCAGAATATTCATTAGCACCAGAATCAAAATATCCCATTGGAGTTGAACAATGTTACCAGGTTCTAATAGATTTATCAAATAACAAATACAATTTAAATAATCTAGATTTAAATAATATTTCAGTATTTGGAGAATCATCAGGTGGTAATTTCGCATTGTCATTATGTTTGTTAGCAAAGAGCCGTGACCACCCCTCAATCATTAAAAAAGTGATAGCTATCTATCCAGTGGTCGATTACAATTTCGAAACCAAGTCCTACAAAGAATTTGATGGCTATTATTTATCAATAGATGCAATGAAAGACTGTTGGGCCTACTATCTTAGAAGTGAACAAGATTCAAATGAATATAGATGCTGTCCATCAAAAGCAACCAAAGATCAACTTAAGGATCTAGTTCCCCAAGCATTGTTTATAACTCCAGAGGTAGATGTATTAAGAGATGAAGGTGAGCAATTTGCAAAAAGTTTATCAGAGGCCAATAATGGAAAAAATGTTACATCATTAAGATTTAATGAGGTTATACATGGATTTCTTTCATTGGACCAATTGGACAGTTCAAGTCAATGTAGATTGGGCATGGATTTTATTGTAAATTTTCTCAATAATATTCCTTTAGAGAAACTTATTGAAGAATCATCAAATAAAAAATTAATAACAAGAATAGTTTAAACAATCAAATAAAACAATTTTTTATTTTTATCCTTTTATATTTTTATTTCTTTTTTTTTTCTTTTTTTTATATTTTTTAATTTTTTTTTTTAATTTATTTTTAATTTTTTTTTTAAATTAAAATCAAAATTTTTTTTTTTATTTTTTTTAAAAAAATCAATTTTTTTTCTTTTTTTTTTTTTAATTTTAATTTTTTAATAATACAATCATTTATATAAACAATGGCAACCCAAGCAACAACATTGACTGATGGCGAAGCTTTAAAACAATTTACAATTTTAGCTAAATCAGGTAAAGGAAGAGCATGTGTAGCTGTAATTGAACAAGCTTTAAATCACCCAAATGTATTTGTATTTGGTGAATTATTAGATATGCCAAATATTCAAGAAGTAAGCAATATTCAACTCAGACTTTTTCAAAATTATCATAAATGGGTCATTTTAATTAACCAGATATTTTTTTTTTTTAAATATAGTTAAAAAATACTGAATTCAAATCATATTACGATTTACTTCAAATTTTTGCTTTTGGATCATATAGCGATTATATAAGTATGTGTTTTTGAAGTCAAAAAATAATCCCTTTTTACTATTATTTGAAATTAATTTCATTTTATTATTAATTAACAGCTAGTAAAGATTCACTTCCACAATTAACACCTCAAATGACTACTAAACTTAGACAACTCACTATTGTATTTTTATCATCTTCTTCAAATGTAAATACTTTTAAAATATACAAAATCTCAAATATATAGTATTATAATAACACATCATATATATTAACATAATTGCTTTTCAATATAGGTTATTCCATATTCAATATTACAAAAATTTTTAGATATTTCAAATGTTAGAGAATTAGAGGATCTTATTATAGATTCAATTTACCAAAATATTATTAAAGGAAAATTAGATCAAAAGAATAAACATTTAGAAATTGAATATTCAATTGGTAGAGATGTTCAACCAGAACAATTAGACTCAATGATTAATATTTTAGATAATTGGTTGGTATTCTATTTCTTTTTTTTAATATTTTTTATCATTATTTACTAATATAATTTAATTTATTTCATAATGTATATAGGTCACAAAGTTCACAAGGCTTGTTAAATAATATTAATAAACTCGTTGAAGAATCTGAAAAAGTTCATGTTCTTTATCATAAAGAAAGAGAAGAATTTGAAAAGAAATTTGAAACTGCCAAAACACAATACAAACCAGAACCATCTGAACAATTATATTATGATTCAATGGAATATTCTGAAGGTATGGGTATGATGAAGAATAACAAAAGGTAAATTATCAAAACGCTATTATTAAAATTTCAATTAACCACTTTACTAATTTTTTTTTTTAATTATTTTAGTGCCAAAACCAAGAAAGATTATAATAAAAGACCATAAATAAATTTTTTTTTTTTTGCAAATATTAATTTATCCATTTTTTAAAATAAGCATTTAATAAACCACCGATATTATAAATACAATATTTATTATTATTTAATTTCTCAATTTTATTTTTATTAAAATATTCTGCGCGCAAATTTTTTTTTTTTTTTTTAAAATTTTTTTTTTTATTTATTTTTTTTGAAAATCGCAATTGTAATTTAATTAATTTATTTAAAACGATACAGATAATATATTATTAAATGGATAAAGGAATTAAAGAAATTATTAATAAACTTTGTTCAAAGAATGATGAAGATCAAGATGACATTATAAATATTTCGAGAGGTTATAGGCTTTTATTAAATTTTATGAAATCAAATATATTAGAGGTAATAATCATAGTTTTATTAAATATTTAAATAACTATAAATATATCTAATAATAACTAATTTTTTAAAAAAGGGCAAGGATTTAATAACTATATCAACATTAATAATTAAACATTTAAAGAAGGATAATAATGAAATTATAATTATAAAAGTTTTGGAATGTAGTAATTATTTAATAGATTTCCTTATAGATGTGGATAGTAATGAAAAAGAAAAAGAAGAAGAAGAAGAGAGTATTAAATCAATTGATATTTTAAACCAACTTATTCAGATTTTATTCTGCGATAGATTAATTGGGAACAATGACGGATATAGCGATGTTGAAGGCTTACAAAAAGAAATTTTAGATAACGTTCAAGGAGTTGTATCAAGTATAATAAATAGTTTTGGGTTTAGTTTGGTATTGGAGCATCTTACAAATTCTTTAAATAGTTCTAATGATCATCTACTCATCGAAAATTGTTTAAAAATTTTATGTAATTTAATTGAATCATCGACAATACAATCAACTCAATTATCCAGACCATTACAAAGATTAATAGTTTCACTTTTAAAATACCCACAATGTCAATTTTATCCCTCTCTCTATAAAGCAATTACATTAATAATCAATGAAATGGGTCATCAGTTTTTAAATGAAATCGATTACGATAATCAAGATTCTTCAATAAAAAAAATTATTTTAAAATTATTAGAGTATGATCAAGAAAAAAAGAAAAAACAAAATTTTACACAGGATCAAATGGATTGTTCAAATGATTCAAATATAAATAATAATAGTGATAATAGTAATAATAATAATGAAAATGAAGATTGGGAAAATTCAAGTTCAACAAGTATAAATAGTAATAATAATAATAATAAAGTTATTGCAAATAAAAATAATATTAAATCATATAAAACCTTAAATAATAAAAATTCAGAAGAAGAAGATGTATTTTCAAAATTAGCTAAAAGAAAACCTTTAGGAATTCAATTACTTTGCGAAGTAAGTTTAAAATAATTAATATTTATAATTAGTTTTATATTATAAATAACTATTAATACTAAACCTATTACTTTATTGTAAACTATAGAATTTAAATGAATCAGAGTTGGAATATAGAATGAATGAAATTATTGAAGCTTTAGATAACAGCGAAACAGAATGGAATATAAAATTAAATAATGTTCTTAAATTACAATCACTTATTAAATCTGGTGCATGTAAACTTTCAAATTTTACACAACTTTTAAATAAAATCAAAGATTTATTAATTGCACAAGTTTTAGATAAAAGATCAATTTTAATGAAGGAAGCTTGCTTAACTGTATCAGCCATCGCCGAAGCTTTAGAGCATCAGTTTGAACCATTTGTTGATAGGTTTTTTAATGCCTTGGTAAAGTGTATTATTTCAACAATAAAAGTAAGTAAATGATTATTATTAATATTATTTTTATTATTGTTTTATTAACTTTTATTTTAATATATTAGGTTGTATCAGAAACATCCGATAATTGTATAAAGTGTATTATATCATCAATTAAATCTTGTAAAATTATACCTAGACTTTATGATCTTTTAGAAAAAGATAAGAGTACAACGGTTAGATCAAAATCGGCAGAGTATCTTTTAATATTGCTTCGAGATTCTCCTTTGAATCAGTTAGAAAGATTTTTAGACTATATAGAGAAATCAATTCGTATTGGTATCGTTGATGCTCATCCTACTGCAAGATCAACATCTAGACAATTGTTTTTCCAATACTCTATTAATTGGCCATCAAAATCTAATCAATTATTTAAAAGTTTAGATCCAAATTCACAAAAACAAATTCAAAAAGAACAGCAGCAACACCAACCATCAATAAAAATAAATAATAACAAGGCAACTACAATATCTACAAAGAAAGGAACATCAACCACCACACCAAATTTATCAAAAACATCACCATCTTTAAAACCTTCATTATCACCATCAACATCAAGCCATCCAACTTTTCAACTTGGTAAACCTACAGTTATAAAAAAATCATCACTTCCATCATCATTAAAGATAAAAGAAAATTCACCAAAACCTCCATTAATAATACATTCAACAACAACTACGAAGCCAACACTACCAGTATTTAGTTTAACACCAACACCATTGTTAAATCCAACTATAATTAAAAAAAAACCATCCATCAGTCCTTTAAAAAATAATATAAGTACTGAAAAGAAAAGATCAATAACAAGTGTTTTTACAGAGGCATCAACATCAACCACTACATCGACTACAGCATCTATACTATCAAGAAAGAAACAAATGTTAACTCATCCAACTTCACCATCATATAGTAAAGTTTTAAATAGGGAAAGATATATTAAAGACAGCGATAACGATGACGACGACTTTGTTTTAGAAAATAATAATCTTTTGAAAAATAGTCTTTTAGGTTCACCAAAAAAAATAAAATTGGATAAAGATGATAAAAATTTAAATTCTTTAGGTTCACCAAAGAGAACAATAACATCATCACCTAAAAAATTTAAAACAACTACCATATCACCCAAAAAAACTATAACAACATCATCATCATCATTAACAACAAATAATATTTTTAATCCAATTAAACTTATAACTACAAAACCTCCTGTTCCTAAAACTACATCAAAACCGTTTTCATCGTTAACAAAAAAAAATGGTGCACCACTTAAAAACTATGTCAAAGATATAATGACATATCAACAGGGGAAATCACAACAGCAACAATCAAAAGAATTAAAACTAACCGATCTTTATAACTAATTACACAAATCTCCATCAAATTATGATTTTATTTATTTATAATTTAAATAAAGAAATAAAGAAAAAAAAAAGAAAACAAGAAAATAAAATTATCATTATTATTATTTTATTTTTAAAACTGTAAATTAAAAAAGTTAAATTAATTCTTTTTTATTATCTCTTTTATTTATTTATTTATTTATTTATTTGTTTATTTGTTTATTTTAGAATGGTTATAAATGAATCAGGGTGCGCTATTTCAAATAGAATTTTTTCAACAGCTTCTACACCAACTGATAAAATACAACAAATTTCATCATAGTTTTTAGTGCCATTTAATAAATGCTTTTTATGAGATAGTGGTAAACCATCTAAAGTTGATAGATTTGTAATTAAGGGATATCTTTGCTTTCTTCTTAGGAATTCGTTGATTATACCAAACATAATAAAAGCTCTTTCGTCAATTCCCAATGATGTTAATGAATTTTCTAAACAATATTCCCTAAAAGTTATATCGATGCTAAGTGATGAATACAATGAGAAAATTAATTCGAATGAACATGGTGTTGCACCTGGAATCGTTATATATTTTTGACATTCTCTTTGCATATCTAAATTGCTTGCTAGTTTTCTGATAGTTGGTGTTGGGTTGTAAATATTAGAGTATTGAAATATATCCACCATTTTAACAATACTATAATAAACTAAATGTTGAATACAACTACTAACTAAACTAATATCGATCTCTGTTAATTTAGAAATTCTACCAACATAATTTATACCATCTATAAAAGGTAATATCTTTTAAAAGATAAAAAGAGTGTTAATAATGGGATTAATAATAAAAAATTAACTAACAACTTACTTGTAATAAAGTTAAATCCCATTCAGATTCATTCGATGTATCAATTTCTTCAATTAAAACTGGTACTTGATGTGGTAAAATTTCTGGAGGTTCGTCAGGTGTTGGTAATAGTTTAACATTGATTGTGTTTGCCTCGTCTACTATAAATGTTGATTCACCATATGTATTTAATTCTCTATATAATGTTTCTAAAATTACTGGTAAATCTGGTTGATCTTTATTTAATCCAATTTCTTTTGATTGATTAAATAAATATTCAGATTCTTTCTATTATTATTATTGTTGTTGTTGTTGTTGTTATTATTTATTATTAATACATAAAATTAATATAATTATATCTATAGTTTAATATGGTATAATATTGGTGTCTTACCTCTAATGTTCTTAAAATGATACCTAATTTTCTAACTATTTGATTATAATTTGTAGTTTCTGTATTTTTATCAAAAACAAAACATAAATTAAATAACAAAGCATTTCTATGATATTTAACATCTTGCACTAAAACTGGATATCCTAATATTTTATAATCAAATGCTGTCCTAAAAATAAAATAAATGAAATTCATAATTAGGTGATTGTCTATCTATAATTTGAAATATATAATAAAGATATTTACAATGTAATTACTTTTCCACATAGTTTTGGTTTGGGTATAATATATTCTGCAAAACCTTCGAAAACCTCATTGGAAATAAATCCTTCTGGGTATTGATGTAAAATTTTTGTACCATATATATTATGAAATTCACTATAAAAAATGCATTTTATAACCTCTGAATCATCCATATTTTTATTATTTTAATTTTTATTTCGATTGTTAAAGTTTAATTAAACTAAATTTAAAAAATATATAAAAAAATTTAGAAAATGAAAAAAAAAATTAAAAAAAAAAAAAAAAAAAAAAAAAAAAAAAAATTTTATTTTTTTATTTTTTTTAAAAATAAATCATTATTTATTTAAAGCTTTATTTATATTGTAATTAAAATTTATTATTACTCAAAAATTGGAATGGTTTAAAGATGGATAATATGTTTATCCAGTGCATTAAAATATGTACTCAAGTATCATAAATGATTGTTGTGTCAATGACATTGTCTAAAAGATGAAAATTATGAATTCAACTAAAAAAAACTATTCAAAGTAGTCCATCAATACAATTAGAATTGAAATATATTATAGCTTTAAAAAGATTTCCAACAACAAAAACTGGTAAAAAAATTAAAAGTATTAATTTAATATTTTAATTTTATAAAAAAAGAAAAAAATTAGCCAATGGCGAAATAATTTATGAATATAATAAATTTAAAATAAATAATAATATTAAATAATAATATTAAATAATAATAAATATTTATAAATCTATTAATAATATGTCACCTCCTTTAAAATTGTTTAAAGGGGTTTGTTTTTTTTAATTTTTTTAATTTTTTTAATTTTTTTTTTTTTAAATTGCAAAATAAAAAATTAATTTTTTAACCCCCAAGTTATAATATAAAATAATAATCATATAACAACTATAATGATTGAAAATAATAATAATAATAATAATAATAATAAAGAATTTACTTTAAGTCAGCCATTTGACTTTTATAAAGATACAGAATATGGTAATCATGATAATATATCATTCTGGGGTGATGTTGCAAAAGAATATATTCATTGGTAAATATTTATAAAAAAAACAAAAGTTATTTATTAAATATAATATTAATAAATTTATTAATAATATAGGGATAAACCATTTAGTAAAATATTTTATCAAGACGAAAATGAAAAATCGGAATGGTTTAAAGATGGTCTCTTTAATATTTGTTATAATGCACTTGATAAACATATTAAAAATGGTAGAGGTGACCAAGTTGCTTTTGTTTATGAAATTCCATTAGAAAGCAAATCATATCAAATAACATATAGAGAACTATTTGAAAAAGTATGTAGATTATCAAGATCATTAAAGAATCTAGGTGTCAAAAAAGGAGATGTAGTAATGATTTATATGCATAACTGTTTTGAAGCTATCATATCAATGTTGGCATGTTCTCGTATTGGTGCAATTCATAATTTTTTATTTGGATGCTTTTTATCAAATTATTTAGTAGAAACCATAAATAGATGTAAACCAGTTTGTATCATTGTATCAAATTATGGATATATTTTTGAAGATATTGTTTATTTTTATCAATCACTAGAAGAAGCATTACCAAACGTAACAGAGAAACCAAACAATATCATACTTTTCAAAAGAAATGATATTGTACTTTCTGAACAAAACAAAAAGGAATCAAATGTTCTAGATTGGGAAGAGTTAATAAAAAATGAAATCGAACCATTGTTAGAGTATGAATTGGTAGAATCAAAACATCCTCATTATATTTTGTTTTCAAGTGGTACAACTAATAAACCAAAAGCAATTGTAAGAGACTCTGGTGGAAGCTGTATTGGTTCGATCTATTCAACTAGAAATAATTTTGGGTTAAAACAAGGTGATACATTTTTTTCAAAGTCTTCTATTGGTTGGATTAGTGGGCATTCTACTTTAACTTACGGTTGTTTATTTACTGGTGTAACCTCTATATTTTTAGAGGGTTCTTTTAGGGACTCTATAAATGAATTTTGGAATATTATTGGTAAATATCAAATTAATAATATTACAATAATACCTTTCCTAGTTAGATATTTAATAAAATATGATCCAAATGGGGAAATTGCATCAAAATACAATATAGAAAGTTTAAAGAAAATTACCGTTTGTGCAGAAAAGGTCCACACCTCTATTATAGATTATCTATTTAAAATTGTAAAAAGAGATATTATTTGTAACGAATATGGTCAAACTGAAACTGGTGGAACTATAATTGGCAATCCTTCACTTCAACTACCCTATGTCAAAGATTCAATTGGTAAACCAACTCCAGGTTATATTATTAAAATCGTTTCAAAGAGTAAAGAAAATCCTAGTCAAACAATAGAAAATAAACCAAATGAAATTGGAGAAATTGCTATTAAACTTCCACTACCACCATTCATATCAAATCGATTATTTGATGATGATCAAGACCAATCTCAATTTAAACAAATCTATACAAATGAATATCCAGGTTATTTTAGAACAAAAGATATTGGTTACTGTGATGAAGATGGTTACTTTTATTATTCATCTAGAGCTGATGATGCAATATCAGTTGGTGGCTATATTTTAAATTGTGCTGTTATTGAAAACGAAATTTTTAAACACCCAAATGTCATTGACTGTTCTGTTATAGGAATCAAAGAAGAGCTATACAATCAAGTTCCTTTAGGTTTTTTAGTACTCAAGGAAAATATTGATCTCAATAATTATCAAAATTTAAAAAATGAAATCAATCAAACTATAACAAATAATCTTTCTTTTGGCGCAATTTTATCAGATATCATAGTTGTCAAACAACTACCAAAAACTAAATCAGGAAAAACATTAAAACAATTGTTAACATTAATTTTTGATGGTAATTAATTTCTAAAAATTTAACTTTAAAAAAAAAAAATTTATTAATTTTCATTCTATTTTATTTTATAGGAAATACAAATATTTCAATTCCATCATCTTTAGAAAATAAAAATGTCATAAGTGAGTTATTAGAAGAATATAGAAATTTTAAAAAAATTTGAATATTCAAAATTTTCAAATCTTCACTTTTAAAAAAAAAAAAATTTTGAATATTATTTTAAAAATATTTATTTTTTAAATATTTATTTAATATTAAATAAAAAAATATATTTTATATTAATTTTTTTTATTACAAACAAAAATTTTCCAATATAATTAAAGAAAAAAATATGTCTCAGAAAAGTTATTGAGATTAGTGGATTTTTTTTTTTTTATTTTTTTTTTTTTTTTTTTAAAAAAGCTTACTTAATAATATAATAAATATTATTAGTGTAAGCGACAGTGTTTATTTATATTAAAATATAAGAAGAAGTAGGGGTTGGGGTAAGGTTGGAATAACCTATCTAGTTTAAGAAGTAGTGAGGGTTGGGGTATGGTTGAATCAACCTATCTGGTTTAAGAAGTTTTTTTTTTCTTAGATTTTTGTTCGATAGCAGGTGATTTCGGACTACCTGATTGGTACGTAGTGGATTTGATTGGTGTGGATATTTGGCTAACATTTCGAGTACGGTTACTTTTTGTAGTGGTATTCGTATTTGTTATGGCGGTTTCATTTTTGGAATTTTGTGAAGTTAATCTTGTAAAGATGTTGTTTAGTGCGTTAACCCTGGATGTTCTTAAGGGTTTGTTGGTTGATGATTTATTGTCATCTTGAGGTGATTGGTTTTTTAATTGTTTGTTTGTTTCATCATTAGATATTTCATCATTATCTATTGTGTTAGTTGGATTGTTAGATTCGTTATCAGAAATAGTTTCTTTGTGATCATCATCTTGATCATTAGAGTCGGCACAATCATTTTTGAGTATGGTAATGAGGTTCTCAAATTCTTTATCAGTGTAGATCCCCGACGAGTCTTCATTGATCATTTGATTCATTATGGTAGTGATGGTATCAATTTCTTTATCAGTGGCGGACCCCGAAAAATGTTCATTGATTAATTGATTCATTTTGGTAATGTTGTTATCAACTTCTTTATCAGTGGAGACCCTGGACATATCTTCATTGATTAATTGATTGATTTTGTTGTTAGGATGATTTTTTGATTTTGTTGCAGACTTAATCTTAATACGATAGTATGGTGATTGGAGTAGCTTTGATTTGATTGGGTTATTTTTGCTTTCGATGAGGTGGAAAAAGGAGGTATTGTTTTTGTTGACTTTGATGTGAGAAAGGAAGAAGTCAATTTTTAGGTTAAGTTGTTCTTTTAACACTTTTTCAATGTCTTGATTGGATGAGTTGATATTTCCAATTACCATATGGTAATCGTCGCAGTGTGTGATGAACTTGTTCATCTTGTTGGTGGTATCTCTTTCATTAAGGAGGTTATATAGGTTCTCTTTTGAGAGAGAGATAAAGAGAGTTTTCTTTTTCTTTTTGTCGAATGAGATCTTTTCTATATCTGTGTACTTGCTGAAATGAGTTATATGCTCATCTGATATTTGGTGGTTTGGGTAGTATAATCTTAGATTGATGTTGTTTCCATTTTTTTCATAAGTGGATAGTTTGTTTTCTCGATCAATAATATCTTTAACACTTTTTTGAATTATAGAGATGCTTGATAAGAGTATATCTTCAACGCTATTGAAATTATTATGGGAAAAATCCTTTTTTTCCATATCTTTCCAATCTTTGGATAAATCTAATATGATTGGTTTTATGTTTGAAGATGGTGGTGGGAAAAATGTTTGTGGTTGGATTGGCTTTTAAAAAGACAAATTGGTGAAGATTGGAGATTGCCGAGATAGAAGATTAAAGATCTTTAATGCGATCTAATTTCTTTTGATCTATGTTTTGTGGTGTATAATTACTATACGTTGATATAGCTTTTAAAAAGCTGTTGGACAGTGCTAAAATTATTTGATAAAACTTAATTTATAAAAAGATTTTATATGATGTTAACCTATTTAGTTTGAGATATAATTATAACTTTTTTTTTAAAAGTGAAGATAATTAGAAGCAAATGCTTTAAATTAATCAGTAAAATTTTATTTAATGTTTTTTTTTTTAAACATTACACACTGCATGGGATTCCCGGAGCGGCAACTCTGAAGATAAAATTTTTTCGATCTCTTGGAAGATATAATCTAAAATTTAGAAAAAAGATTGGCTGCTCTGAGAATCGAACTCAGGACCCCTTGTTTACAAGACAAGTATTATGCCACTAAACTAAGCAGCCATTGATGAAATTTTGTAATGAAGCTCTATACAGCTTACAAATAATTAAGTATATATATATGTAAAATAGGTATAACAAATAAATAACAAATAACAAATATTATATGTGTAATGAAATTGTAGTTTATTAAATAATATAGAATAAAAAAAACCTCTGAAGTTTTAGACTGAGAACTTGAGGTATTTATACTGAATGAGATTGGTTCTAGAAGCTAATTCTTAAGTTATTTGGAAACACTGGAATTGGTAGTTACTAAGCAGTAGTTAGTAAACAGCAGTTAGTGACTCTTAATTAGCCTAGGGTCATAGCGTTAATATAGCGATATCATAACAGTATATATATGGTCGGACGGGGGGGCAGTTATACTACAATTTTTTTATTTTCGGGTCTCCTTGTCAGACCTTTTTTTGAAAAAAAAATGTTTTTTTAGCTTTGAGTCATATAGGCCCAAATACCGATTTCCCAGCATTAAAAAAAAAGAAGTTCTCACAATGGATGGAACATTTGTTCATAATACTATTTGTAATTAGTTTTATCTACATGTTTAGAATTTGTTAAAGATGGAACAAATAAATTTATGGATTTAGTAGATTCTGCGAAGAACAAACCTGGCTCATGTTCTTATCAATTGTTTAATCAAAACTCAGAAGGAAACCAGTTGTCATGGATTAAAACTGTAATAAAAATTAGTTTAATTTTATTATAATATTTTCTATTAATTGCCAAAATATTATTATTTGTAATAAACTTTTATATTTATTTGTACAAATAATTTTTTTATTATTTTTATTTATTTTTTCAATAAATTATGACTAGATTTCAATTTTAGATGGGTCTAAACCTGGAATGATTTTAAAATTATCGAAACCCATTTGTTTGTTTTCTTTTTCATAGTGAGGAGATGTTTTTAGTAACTCTAAAAAGAAATCTATATATATAGATAAAACTGAAAAATACCATTGTATTGAACTATC